AAGCTGCACAGAGAGACCCTGTTTCAGAAATTAATTAATTAATTAAAGGCAGGATACAGGCTGGGGATGTAGCTCAGTGGTAGAGTATGTACTTAGGATTCATGAGGCCCTGGGTTTGATCCCCAGCACAAAAAAAGGAAGGAAAGAAGAAGGAAAACCACACTGACTACAATAAAAAAGACAGAGAGCAGGCCAGGCATTGTGGTTTACCCCTGCAATTCCAGCTCTTGGCTGATGAGTTCAAAGCCAGCCTGGACTACATAGTGAGTGAGACTCTATCTGAAGAGGAAAAAAAGATAGATAACAAGTGTTGACAAAGATGTGGAGAAACTGGAACCCTCATACACTTCTTGAGGGAACTGTAGAAAGTAGCCTGGCAGTTCCTCTAAAGGTTAAATATAGAATTAACATATGACCCAGTAATTCCACTTATAGGTATATACCCAAGAAAAAAAATGAAAACACAGGCCCAGGGAAAAATTTGTACACAAATATTCACAGCAGTGTCATTCATAATAGCCTCAAAGTGGAAACAATCCAAATGTCCATCAACTGATGAACAGATAAATAATATGTGGCATTTTCACACAATATAATTTGAGCCTGAGAAAGAATGAAGTGCTGCTAAATGCTAGCCATGGATGGATTTTGAGAACATGCTGAGTGAAAGAAACTAGTTACAAGATATCATCTACTGTAAGATTTCATTTATATAAAATGCTTAGAAAAGGCAAATCTGTACAGAAAATTAAGTAGTGGCTTCCCAGACCTGAGTAAGTTGGAGCAAAATGAGGAGTAACTGCTAATAGGAATGAGGTATTGGGGAGGATACAATAAAAATGTGCTAAAATTGAGTGTGGTGATGGTTGCACATATCTATGAAAATACTAAAAACCTTTCAGTTATACACTTTAAATGAGTGAATTACATAGTGTGTAAATTACATCTCAATAAAGTTATTTAAAGGAAGTCAATGGGAAATTTACTCCAATAAACATAATTGTCAATAAAAATACAAGCAAAAAAGATGGACACAAAGACCACTTACTGGCTGGGTGCGGGTGGCTCACTCTTGCAATCCTAGCTACTCAGGAGGCAGAGATCAAGAGGACCACAGTTTGAAGCCAGCTGGGCAAATAGTTTGTGAGACACTATCTCGAAAAAACCCATCACAAAAAAGTGATGAGTGACTCAAGGTGGAGGCCCTGAGTTCAAACTCCAGTAACACACACACACACACACACACACACACACACACACACACAAAACCCCAACTTATTGTATGATTTGATTACAGCAAAATTTTTGGAAAAGGCAAATTTACAGATACAGAAATTAAATTAGTAAAAAGAATACAAAAACAAAGAAAAAAAGTAAATTAGTGGTGGCCTCAGGTTTGGATAGGAATGAAGATTAACTGTAAAGGAGCCTAAGGAATGACAAGAAATGTTCTAAAACTGGTTTATAGTAATAGTTGCCCATCTTGGTAAAATTACTAAAAATCATTGAACTGGACACCTAAAATGGGTGAATCTTGTGGTATATAAATCTTAATGTAATGAAAGTATTTTTCAAGATGAAATAAGCCAGGTGTGGTGACACAAATCTGTAAATCCAGCACTCAAATAGCAAAAAAAGGATTGCAAGTTTGCAGCCAGCCTAGGCTACATAGTTAACTCCAAGTAAGACTAGGCTAAACAGCCAGACTCTGTCACAAAAAAAAAAAAAAAAACCTAAAATATTTAAGCCCTTCTACTTGAAACCCAGGCTTCCCATCTCATTTAATGTGAAAGCCTGAGTGCTACCTCCCCTACAAATCCTAAAGTAATGGACACTGAACTCATCATGCCCTACCTCTCTTATGCCATATATTATCTCTCTCTTCCTTGCTCACCCTCTGTGTAGTCTTTGCTATTCCTCAAGCAGGCACCTTGGTCCTCAAGGCCTTTGATCTTGCTATACCTTTGGCCTAGAATGTTCTCCCTTCAGATATGTGGGAATTCACTCCTCACCTTCTTCAACTCTATTCCAATAATTCTTTCTTCATGAGCCCTTCCTGGGACACCTTCCTAAAACCACACACACCTGCTCTTAGTCTATACCCACTTAAAATTTCCTTTACCAAAATTTTCTCCTACTTTTTCTCTGTCATCATTTTTGTATTTCAAATGCCTAGAACATAGTACACAATAAACTCTCAATAAACTTGTTGAATGAACAAACAATGTTCCATAAACTTTATGTATATTTACTTCATTCTCTTTAATGGCTGCATAGTTTCAACTGAGTAATTCCATAATTTATTTTTAAAATAGTCCATTACTGAAATACATTTAGCAGTGAATCTTCTTATGCATCAGGCAGTTCTTCATATTCCAGGATTCAACCAGCCATGGATTGAAAATATTTTTAGGGGGTTGGTATGATGGCTCATGCCTATAAGCCCATCTTCTTGGGAAGAAGAGATAGTAGGATTGTGATTGGAGGCCAGCCAGGGGAAAAAATTAGCAAGACCCTATCTCAAAAGGCAGACACGGTGATGTACCTCTGTACTTCCAGTTATGCAGAGAGGCATCTTGGTGTGAGGCATTCCCAAACAAAATTGAAAACCCTATGTGAAAAATAACCAAAGCAAAAAGGGCTGTGGCTGTGGTTCAAGTAGTAGAGCGCTTGCCTAGCAAGTGGAAGACCTTGAGTTCAAATTCTAGTATTGCCAAAAAAAGAAAAAAGTTTAAAAAAAATGCACCTGGATGAACATTACAGATTTTTTGCCATTATTCCCTAAACAATGCACATAACAACTGTTTACATAGCCACTTAGATTAGGTATTATAAGTAATCTAGAGATTATTTAAAGTATACAGGAGGATGTGTATAGTTTATATGCAAATATTGTGCCGCCATTTTATATAAGGGACTTGAGCATCCATAGATTTTGTTTTCCAACGAGGGTATAGGAATCAATCCCCTAAGATACTGCGGAATGACTATAAGCATTTTGGCACTTGTTCCATCTATTACAAAAAAATCCTAGAAAGTGATTTTATGAGTCAAAGATTCTCATTAAAATTTTTAAATATTCCCAAATTGATCTCCAAAATGATTATACTAATTTATATTCTTAGTCAACAGTATTCAAAGTTCCTCAAACTCTCACCAACACTAGATGTGATTAAGTTGTTCAGTCTTCACCAATCTCATGAGAAATGTTGTCTCACTACAGTTTAATTTCCAATTGACTTAATTATAAGTGAAATGAAACATCTTTTTTAATCAATCATTAGTATTTCTATGAGTTGTATTTTTAGATTCTTTGCCCACTTCGTTATGGGTCTATTGTTATTTTTATTGATTAAATGGAATTCTGTACATTAGGGAAATTTACCATCTAGCTTATAAATTGCATTTTCCACATTTTTCTTCTGTAAATTTTGTTTACAGTGTCTTTGTGGTGCTGAGGATCCAATCCACGGCCTTGTGAATGTTAGGCAAGTGTTCTATCACTGGTCTACATTCCTAGTCTTTGCTTACAGTGGAGCTTTTTGATAGTTCAGAAAATTTTAATTTCCAAGGAGTGAAATTTATTTTTTTCACTTACGATTTTTATGTCATGCTTAGATAGACCTTCCCCATTCCAAGATTATTAAAAAATATTCACTCATGTTTTTATTTACTGCATTTTATATTTTCCTTTCTTTAAATTTTTTTTTTTTTTTTTTGCGATACTGGGGCTTGAACTCAGAGCCTATACCTTGGGCCACTCCACCAACCCTTTTTTGTGATTTTTTTTTTTTCGAGATCGGGTCTCCTGAACTATTTGCACGGGCTGGTTTCAAACTGCAATCCTCCTGATCTCTGCCTCCTGTGAAGATTACAGGTGTGAGCCACCAGTGCCTGACTTCCTTTTTTAAAGTGGTGCTGGGGATTGAACCCAGGGCCTCCCAGATGTTACAAGCATCTCTCCCCCGGAACTACACCCCTAGCTCCAATTATTCTATTTTTGATGCTTAAATTTGTAACCATCTTGACCATCTTGGAACTGTTTTTTCTCTTTCTTTTTTTTGAAAACTCTTTTGATGTAAACAGTGAATAGAAGATTCAGTTCACCATTACCTACATGGTTCTTTGTCTCCATCATCATTTATTAAATAGTTCATTTCTCACTGATTTGAAATACCACTTTTATCATATACTAAATTTCCTTGTATAAGATTGAACCCGGGGCCTTATGCCCTCTATCCCTGTGCCACCTAAACCTCAGTCCCCCCAAAATGTTTCTAGTTTATCACTTTATGTTACAATATCCGAAAGTGCTCCACCTGTCCTAATTAATGACTGAAAATTAACACACACAAACACACTAAAGCTTACCTCCCCCCACACCCTCAGAGGTGTTGGACAGCCTGGCCCTCCTAAGAAACTTTAAAAACTGACACTGAGCTGGATGGGGTGGTTCAAACAAGTAATCCTAGCTGCTCGGAGGCAGAGATAGGAGGGACTACGGTTCGAGGCCAGCACTGGCAAAAAGTTCGGTAGTCCCCGTCTCAAACAGTGGCTGGCTGGTGGTGCTCGCACTTTGTCATTCCGGCTACTCGGGGAAGCACAACTAAGAAGATCGGAGCCCAGGCCGGTCACGATCTAAAGCTGAGACCTACCTCAAACATAACGCAAGGGTGTGGCTCAAAAAGTGCTAGAGCGCCCACTTAGCAAGCGTGACGCCCAGTCACGTCCTAGTACCACCAAAAACCCCTAAAGTTTTATCACTTGCGGGTGACAAATCTTGAGAAAACACACTAAATGAGAGACTAGAGGATTCCCCTCTTTCTCTTCGGATTTAGTGATTTCCCTTTCCTCGCGACCTACGCACACCCCTCGAAGCCAGCTGCTTCTCCTGGCTCAGCCTCTGGGCGCCGCAACCTGCCCGGCAGACTCTGGACCTGGACTGGCCGCCGGGTGGCTGCTGGCGTCGTGACGTCATATCCTGTCTCGGGCGGAAGTCTTCCGCTGGGGGACCGGGAAGTAGCTGAAGACTGGGCGATGGCAGTTCTGGAGGCCTGGCTCCCCGAGGCCACCGTGCCCCCGCGGTAGAGCGGTCCTGAGTGCAAGATCCGGGGTCTTGAGGTGAAGAGCGTTGTGGGGGGCTGAACTTGGACCTTAGAAGGAACAACTTGGGAACCCTGACGCCCCTATTGCAGCCCCTTCGCTGATCGTGGCGTCCAGACTGCCTTTGCCAGGGCTGCCCCGGAAGCAGGTTCGCCTGGTATCCAACCACTCTCAGAGTGAACAACTCCGGCCAGGATTTTTTCCCTTCACCACCACCACCATGGCAGGTGATAGCCGCGTGCCGGAGATTCAGGGGCGCGATTCTTCCTAACATCGCCTTCTCTCCACTGCCGCAGGGATGGAAGGGTCTAAAACGTCTAGCAGCACCATGCAGGTGAGCTTCGTATGCCAACGCTGCAGCCAGCCCTTGAAACTGGACACGAGCTTCAAGATCCTGGACCGTGTCACAATCCAGGAGCTCACAGGTCAGCGAGACCCATGGAAAGAGGGTGGTCAAGAACGCAGAAAGTGGGCAGCTTTGGAGACAGGTCTTGTGCTAGTCTATATAGACTGTCATAGACTCGTCATGTGAACTTAGGAAAGTCACATCATCTCTCTGTCCCTGTTTTCTCATCAGGAACACGAAGGAATTCATTGCAAAAGAAAGGTCCTTAGTTTTCTGTCCCTTAGTCTGCTGTCTCACAGTGAAGGAATATGTGCATGTAATAATAAACAGCATTTGTTGAGGACTTACTGTATGTCAGGTGCATTATATACATTTAGTCCCTCCAACAACCCCTGTGGAGAAGTACCATCATTACATCATTATACAGATGAGGAATTGAGGCTCAGAGAGGTCCAGCTAAATGGAAGAGTAGAGTTTCAAAAGTCCCAAGAAGTGAGACACAGATGAATAGGAAAATTAAATAAGCTCGTGGCGTCCTGCAAACCCTGGCTGTCACGCATCTCTTTAAGCTTTGGTTTCTTTATCTTAAACTGTAAAACTACCTCATAAGATGGTTGTAAGTATCAACTATGGCACTGCACATAAATACTTAGGAGTATGCTGAGCAAGTAGTACTCAATAGATTATTATTATTACCTGATATTTCTGAGTGGAATGAACTCTATTTGATTTTTTAAGTTTTTTTCTTCTGTAAATTTGCAAACATATAGTCAAGAAAAGAGCATAATGACTTCTGTTGTACCCACCATCAGCTTCAACAATTAGCCACCTTCTGCCTTTCTTATGTTACCCACTCCTCCACTCACCATCTATCCCTCTTTTAATTATTCTGGGTTTTGTTTTTCAGTGCTGATATTTGTACTCAGCCTCATTCTTGCTTGACAGGCACTCTACCACTGGAGCCACACCCCTTAGTCTCCTAGCTATACATTTTTGACAAATACATACACTCATGTAATCCTGACCATTATGATGTAGAAAAGTTTCATTTTCCCAGAAAGTTCCCATGTGTTTATTCTCGGTTATTCTAGGAGGAAGGGGATGTTAACTTTCATGGTGGAAATTCTCAAAGTAGATAGTGAGTCCCTATGAACCCATCATGTAGTTTCAACAATTATCAGTATGTTTAATCATGCTTATCTGTAGCTCCATCCATTCCTCTCACCATGAATTATTTTGAAGTAAATTCTAACATATAAAGACTCTAAATGTATCTCTAAGTACTTTAAAAAAATAATTCTAACATATAAAAACTCTAAATATATCTGTAAGTACTTTAAAAAAATAAGGAATCTTTCAAAAATAATTGTGATACTACTAGGGCTTTAAATTTTTTTTATTATTATTCATTTATTCACATGTGTACATTGTTTGGGTCATTTCTCCCCTCTAAATTTTTAATATTAATCTGATTTTACAGGGAGAGGGGAAGGACAACTGATTATTTATGTAATTATATAAGAAAAAATTAAGGGTTGGGATACTGATGAGGCTTTTTCAGATCTTTTAAAATAGTTTCGTAAGCCTCCTGCTTTGATAAGACTATTTCTGACTCAGTATTCTTCTTGCCCTTAGCTCCTGTACTTGCCACAGCCCAGGTGAAACCAGGAGAAACCCAGGAGGAAGAGGCTAACTCAGGAGAGGTAATAGAAATGCCTTTTCCCTATCCTCATATAATAAATATGCTAAGTGGGAGACTTGATATGAAAGCACATTTTCTGTAGGGTACTTGGTCCTCCTAAAGCCCCTGGACTTTGGGGGTTAACAGAGTCTGGTTTACAAGAGAGATTCTACATGATCAGTTCATTGTGGATCATTGGAGGTATACAAGTACACCTGGGCTGGGGACACAACTTCCAAGTTCAAACTCTAGTACCACCACCAGAAAAAAAAAAAAAAAAGAAGTACAACTGATTATAATTTTAAAAAGAAAAAAAGGGAGGGATGAGAGCTGGAAGTGTGGTGCGAGCAGTAGAGCACCTGTCTCACAAGTGCGAACAAAACCCTGAGTTCAAACCTCAGTATCCCCCAAAAAAAGTATACCTAAAATTACAGGATTATTGAATAAAGCATCCGTTTAAAATGTGACCATAGCCAGGCACCAGTGGCTCATGCTGGTAATCTTAGCTACTCAGGAGTAGAAGTCAGGAGGATCATAGTTTGAGGCCACTCCAGGCCAAAAAAAACCAAAAAAACAATGAGGCTTTATCTCAAAAACAGCCAACACAGAACTGGCAGAGAGGCTCGAGTGGCAGAGTGCCTGCCTAGCAAGCATAAGGCTCTGAGTTCAAGCCCCATAGCAACAACAAAAATGTGACTGTAAACCAGAGATGGGCATTCTTGGTTTTCACCTGTTACTCTAGTTATTCACATCAGTTCTCCATTTCCAAAAGTACCTTGGTTTGGATAGTGAGTTGATTACCCTAGACAAAAAGGATTGTCAGTGTTAGAACATGTTTTGTTTTGGTTTTTTTGGCAATACTAGGGGTTTAAACTCAGGGCCTCATGCTTGCTAAGCGGGAACTCTACCACTTGAGCCACTCCACCAACCCTTTTTTTGTGTTGGGTATTTTTGAGATAGGATCTTGCAAACTATTTGCTCAAGTTGGCTTTGAACCAATGTCCTCCTGATCTCTGCCTCCTGAGTAGGTAGGATTATAGGCATGAACTACCTGCACCCAGCTGGTACTAGGGTTTGAACTCAGGGCTTCTTGCTTGCAAGGGAGGCACTCGACTTCTTGAGCTACACCTCCAGCTGGAGAACACGTCATTATTAAACTGCAGTAACTTCAGTGATAATTTGCATTGCCAAAGATAGACATCATAAGAATTTTTGTTTTTTTTAAAGTATCAGTCATTTATTTGGGAGGGAATCCCAGAAAACTCCAGTAGGAAGCAGGGATGTGAGATGGGAAAGGGAAGGAAATGAAGGGGACATGATCAAGCCAGTAACACCTGTGGACAGCTGGAGTTCCATCCTGTAGAGCGACATTCTGTAAGATGGCATCAAATACACACATGAGGTTTGTCCTGCTCAAGTAATAAGGGAGCTGGAGTATTTAGCCACCCCTGCTGTCAGTCAATGGGGGAAGGCTTCAGGTGTTGGCTATTAGTTCTAGCCAACACCCTCTATAGGAGGTGCAGGGGCCAGAGAAAGCCATCAGCACGGAGGCATAAGGGGCTGATATAAATTATATCAAAATACTGAAAACAAATTACCTACTTTGTCTATGCCATGCAAACTTCCAATCTGATATGGCTTTTTCCTTATACCATGATTTGGGGCATCCTCTCCCTTATACCTGACTGGTAAATGTTGAGAAAAATGCAAATTTTTCTATTAGTAGAGTATAACATAGTTAGGAAATGCTGTTACCCCACCCCCACACACACCCCCAAAAAAAAAGAAAGAAAAGAAAAAGAGAAAAAAGTCAAATGGGACTTACAGGACATCTGTACTGTTGGTACTTTTTTAATTCATAAATACAAGGATTGACTACATAATACCCATTTCTTAAGTCTCTGTGGTTTACCATGTCTTGTGGTTATCAATAAAGGGTAAAGCCAAATAGTTCTGAGGCTGTTTGGGAAATAGACTCCATCTCTAAGCTTCCAGAATTCTAATGTCCTCTTATTTCTTTCCCAGGAGCCATTTATTGAAACTCGCCAGGATGGCGTCTCTCGCAGATTCATCCCCCCAGCCAGGTGCCTACTACTCCTCAGCCCCCTGTTCCTTGCCAAAGCCAGTAGAATTTTACTTGAACCCAGGAATTAAAGACTTGGAGCTAGGTGATTAGGATGAATCATCACCTAACCTTTTGGTTCTTTTAGAAAAAATATATTCCCTCATACCTGGCCCATCATCTTGCAGTATTGAGTTTTGCATGTAGCCATTTACACCTGGGAAGGGATAGTAGCTCTAATGATTGAGAAATGTTGAGGGAGTAATTGATAACATGGGCTCTCAAGAAATTTTAAAATGGCAAAGGTTAGATGTTCAGGTTTTTAGTTCTCGATGCAACAGGTAAAGTTTGCTGGTGAGGAGTGTAATATTTTAAAATGGTCTTTCTTGAGTCTCCTTCCTTTTTTGCTGTAGACACACACATCAATTTTTGATGCTCCCTTAGTCCATCTAGGCCAACCTTGTGTTGAGTGTCCATGTGGAAGACCAATATGGCCTTCTCTTGGGAGAGAGGTACCATTGGGAGGTCAGTTGGACTATAGAGTGGGTATGTGCCTTGAGGCTCCTCAGCCAGTGCTTGAGAGTCTCTGCCACTGGCAGCGCAGTAGGCGGAGGAGGCCTCTCTGCTCCCTCACGTGGCCCGTGGGCGGGGGGCTGTCTGCAGGATGATGTCTACAGAAAGTGCTAACAGCTTCACTCTGATCGGGGAGGCATCTGATGGTGGCACCATGGAGAACCTCAGCCGAAGACTGAAGGCAAGTGGGCCTCACTTCAGTGTTAAGCACGCTTGGCCATTAGAGGGGGTGGCTGGGCAGGTAGCATAGGCGAAGCCCTGCCCTGACTCTCCCATGCTTCCAGGTCACTGGGGACCTTTTTGACATCATGTCGGGCCAGACAGATGTGGATCACCCACTGTGTGAAGAATGCACAGATACTCTTTTAGATCAGCTGGACACTCAACTCAATGTCACGGAAAATGAGTGTCAGAACTACAAGTGAGTGCCTCCACAGTCAGGGCCTAGCAACTCAAACCTGAGTCTGGGAGACTGGGAGACTCAAGAGCTTTGCTCCACTTTGGCACATGTAATGACAGGTTCTCTCTGGTAACTGTACTCTGCCTGTGTCCTTGGCAGACGCTGTTTGGAGATCCTGGAGCAAATGAATGAAGATGATAGTGAACAGCTACAGAGGGAGCTGAAGGAACTGGCATTAGAGGAAGAGAGGCTGATCCAGGAGCTGGAAGATGTGGAAAAGAACCGCAAGGTAGTGGCAGAAAATCTGGAAAAGGTCCAGGCTGAGGCCGAGAGACTGGATCAGGAGGAAGCTCAGTGAGTGCTCTTCTGTCTTTTTTTTTTTTTCCCTCGGTACTGAGGCTTGAACTCAGAGCCTCATGCTTGCTATCCTCAAAGCTCTAGGAGAGGGAATGGCTTCCAGCTGAATGTGTCTGGTTAATTTGTAAGCTGCAGTGAGCTGTCATTTGGCAGTATGTCTGCTCCAAATCCTGCATGTTGTTTCCAGACCCTGTTTCTAGAGGATTGTTGGGAGGGTTATTTGTGAAGGGACAGTATGATCAAGTGAAAAAAAGGTGTTGGTTAAGTAGAGTGTGAGCAACAGGGCCATAGTTTTGGCTCTGTCCTGGAAGGAAGGGGCTTGTTTGGATAAGTCAGCCAATTTGCAGCCATCATCTGGAAGGATAAGCATGTTAGCCTATACCTGTTCCCCTCCAGCTCAAAAATTTCACGAATCTTTTTGATCTGAGCGAACCCTCTGTCTAGTGGAAGAGATATAAGGTCCACATTAAATAAAGTTGAATAGAGGGGAAGGTCAATTTTTTCCAAGTAGCGTATAACAAGTTTCACTGGAAATTGTATATATTAATTACTTAAAGGATAATAGTATATTGAAGTGAAGTTACAGAAGCCTGTTATGACCAATTCATGGAGGAAGCCCCTCTTAATTCATTTACCTCAATTCTGAAAAAGATCAAAAATAGAAGAGGTTTTTGTCCAAATTAAGAAGAGTTACTTTTACCCTCTCTACCTTTTTGCATATGGGCAACTGGAAGTTGGAGACATTTTTGTCCCCCCCAAGCAAAACAGCTAGGGCATATATATTCCTCTAAGAGGGATCTATGCTAAATATAGAAAATTCTGGCTGGGAGCTGGTGGACCTATAATCCTAGCTACTTGGGAAGCTGAAATCAGGAAGATTGTGGTTCAAGGACAGCCCCAGAAAATAGTTCAGGAGACCCAATCTCCAAAATAACCAGTGCAAGAATGGACTGGAGGTGTGGCTCAAGGGATAGAGCACCTGCTTTGAAAGCCCAAAGCCCTGAGAGTTCAAACCCCACCAAAAAAAAAAAAGAAGAAAATTCTGTAACTAGATGTATCTGTAATTACTACAGTAAATCATTCAGAGGCCTGGTGAAAAAGAAACTGTAGCCCCCAAACTAACAGCTTTCATTTGCCCCCTTGGCTCCTTACAGGTATCAGAGGGAATACAGTGAATTTAAAAGACAACAGTTGGAGCTGGATGATGAGCTGAAGAGTGTAGAAAACCAGATGCGGTATGCCCAGATGCAGCTGGACAAGCTGAAGAAAACCAACGTCTTTAATGCAACCTTCCACATCTGGTAAGGAGGGGTGGAGGGTGGGGCATGCCTCACTGCAGATCTGGACCTTAGCTGTTTAGCACTAAGTTAGGGTGCCTACCTCTTCCAAACTAGAAATTGTAAGTTATCTTCACTCTAGATTGTTTCTATCATTCTTCGTAACGAGATTGTTATAATTGGGATTAGAATAGAATTCTAGGTGTTGGTGATATCACCCACCCAAAGAAGGGGAAAGTTCTGAACTCTCCAGTCCCATGAGAACCTGGTCAGCTGCCTGTTGTTTATTTCTTACCCCCAGACTTATTCATGTATTAATTTATTTGATTTTTTTTTTCCTGTGCTGGCATTTGAACTCAGGGCTTCATGCCTGCTTGGCAGGTGTTCTACCAGCTAAGCCACTGTACCAGCCCTTTTTTTTACTTGTGTTGGGTATTTTCAAGATAGGGTCTTGGGAACAACTTGCCTGAGCTGGCTTTGAACCGAAATCCTCCTGGTCTCTGCCTCCCAAGTAGCTAGGATTACAGGTGTGAGCCACCAGCGCCCAGCCTTATTTGATATTAACTAATTTGATATTATTTAATATTAAGTAATAACTTTTGAGTGTCTGCAGTGTGGTAGGTGTTGTGCTAAGGTTCAGAAGGGCCATAGCAAATAATATTCAGTCTACGTTTCAGTTACTTCTTATCTGGTGGAAGGGACGGATAAATAATAGGCAAGTGTAATACAGTGTGATAGTGGTAGGCCCAGGATGCTGTGAGAATACATAAAGGTACTTTACCCAGTTTGGGTTGGCTGAATGGAAAGCTTCCCCCAGAGAAGGTTGACATTTTGAGAGGTGAAGTAGATGTCTACTGTAGGGAATTATTCCTGGCAGAGAGAACATCATGTGCAAAGAAACAGGAATGAAAGGAGCTTATCGTGACTTAAGACTGAGTGAAAAGGGATGAGTGACCAGATATGAAACTGGAGAGTTACCAGTTCCTAAGGACCTTATAGGTGTCATTAAGGGGTTTGGAATCAATCCAAAAGGCAGAGAGAGTAATCAAAGCATTTTAGGCAGGAATTCATTTGTATTTATGAATGGTAGTTTTACCTACAATTTGAGAAATGATTTGGGGGGAAGAGGTTAAGGAGATTTGTTGATAGGAATCTAAACAGGAAAAAGAATAGTAGTATTAAGTTTGAGAGAGGTGGACAGATTTAAGAGATGTAAGAGACAGAATCAGTGGAGCTTAATGGTTTTCTAGGCTAGGGAGCTGGCAGTAGTCACAGATGACACCCAGGTTTCTACTTTGGCATCTGAGCAACAGGGTGAAAGATAATGCCTCAAGTTGTAGGCATGTATTTAAAATACCAAGTAGAGCTTGGATATACGAATCTAAAGATAAGAAGAGAGGTTTATGCTAACTTTTGAGTGAGAGTGGGAAATCTCAAAAGTTTTTAGTAATCTCTGTGTCTGGTCCCTCACCCTTATGCCTTCCTCTACAGGCACAGTGGACAATTTGGCACAATCAATAACTTCAGACTAGGTCGCTTACCCAGTGTTCCTGTGGAATGGAATGAGATTAATGCTGCTTGGGGCCAGACAGTGTTGTTGCTCCATGCCCTGGCCAATAAGATGGGCCTGAAATTTCAGAGGTAAGAAACACAGCTATTCTGTGGGGAGCAGTGTTTTTGACATAATCTGAATCTCCCACCTGGTACTGTTCTTCATTCTGTCAGGAGCCCTTGCTACCAGTAGATTGAGAGTTTGCTGCTGTTAGAGGCTGTGTACATGTGGTTTTCCCTTTATCACAGGGCTCTTTCCACTGATAGCACAATCACCAAGCTGGGGACTTTAGCAGTAGTTCCCAAACTGCAGTCTCTAGAACCTTAGTGTTCCTCAAGAAAATTTCAGTTTTTGTTTTTTAAATCTAAACCAAAACATAACTTAGTTTATGAAGGACTCCCACAGATAGTTACATAATGAATGTAATTTTTATGGTAAACAAAGTCTTTTAAATACTGATCCTATGGGGAGGTGGGGGAAGGGGTTGGGAACAATAAAAGACCTTGAGTAGGATGCGGATTGAAAATCATTGGGTTACAACTTCCCAATAATGACTTTAGGAGGAGTCCTGTATCCATTTCTTTGTCTGTATCTCCATTTTAGGTATCGACTTGTTCCTTATGGAAATCATTCATATCTGGAGTCTCTGACAGACAAATCTAAGGTACTCTCGGAGGCCCTATTTTCACTGGTTTATAAAGTTGCTACTACTCATAACAAAATGGTGTAGGTTCGAGGCTGGGGAGTGTAGCTCAGAAATAGAACACTTGCCTAGCGTGCATAGGGCTCTGGATTTGACCCCAAGCATGGGGACAGGGGTGGGGGGTAGGGGTTGTTTCGAAATTTGCATTATTCAGATTCTCAGACTGAGATACCTCATAAAAAGTCAATGTCTTGCTGGGCACCAGTGGCTCACGCCTGTAATCCTAGCTACTTGGGAGGCTGAGATAGGGAAGATTGAGGTTTAAGACCAGCCTGGGCAAATAAGTTATAGAGCCCGCCATCTCCAAAATAACCAGAGCAAAATGGACTGGAGGCGTAGCTCAAGCAATAGAGTGCGTGTTTTGCAAGCATGAAGCCCTAAGTTCAAACCCCAGTGACACAAAAAAAAAAACAAAAAAAACGCTTCAACATCTTGTTCAGGTTCAGCTCTTTGGGACTTACAGAGAAAAATTAGGTTTTTACAGCCTGTTGAGAAGGAATATGGGAAAATCAGAGGATGGAGAAGGAATCACTGTGAGGTAGAAGTTCAGTATATTTTTACTGGTAGGGAAGCAGTTCTAGGTGTGTTGTTATTTGCCCAAAGGTTAATTGCAGTTGTTCAAGATTATGAACAACTGTAACTGTTGTTCATTCATCCTGAATGAAGGATAGAGTCCTGCTTAAATGCTTATCTCCAGAGGATTCAGACAGAACATGAGTTGATTGATAGGACTGGAAACCATCTCTGATAGCCTGTCTTGATGCCACACCCATAATCAATTCTCTCTTCTTGGATAGGAGCTGCCATTATACTGTTCTGGGGGACTGCGGTTTTTCTGGGACAACAAATTTGACCATGCAATGGTGGCCTTCCTGGACTGTGTACAGCAGTTCAAAGAAGAGGTAGAAAAAGGTGAAACACGATTTTGTCTTCCCTACAGGTCAGTATCCCCAAATGCACAGTGAACTTGTAGTGGGAACAAACTGAATAAAATTAAAGGGACAGTAAAAATGAAGGCAAAATCATGTACTGTAAATGGTGGGAAAGCAAAAAATGGTGCAGAATTACATGACACTGATGGGCAAAAACTGATCCAACCCTGCAAGCAGGACAGTGTGACCACCTGGTCTCTGGAGTAAAAGAATGTTGTCTTGGGTGGTTTAGGAAATTTTCTTAGCACAGAGCTCAAGCCTGTTCTCCAATTTTAGGAAGGTTTCTCCTTGAAGTCTTTGGAAATACACACAAATGCTTTTTGGTCAGATATTGAAACTCCATGATAGAAACCCTAGTTCAAAAGCATAAGATTGAGTGTTGGGTGTGGTGGTACATGCCTATAATCTCACCTGGGCTACATAGGGAGACCCCAGCTCTAAATAAATAAATAAGGTTGAGCAGCTCCTATCACCCTAAAACAAAACATTTTTCTTCTGCCTCCTTTTTCCCCCCATGAGTTCAGAGTTGCCTAGTACAACAGAGAGTGTTATAACCCTCACTCACCCCCTGTTCCAGACTTCTCATCTGTTTGGGTGTGTATCCTGTTCCTGTGCCCTGCAATGACAATAAGGCTCTTGTGACAGCCTTCTTGATTTTGGGCTTTCAAGTAAATCCAAAATACACTACCGTTCCTCGCCAAGAGTTCTTTATTAGATAAAGTGACGTGAATGGTCCCATGAGCAAGTCCCTGCCCATTTGCCTGAACTGACTTCACTAAGATCTCAGTTACTAATGAGCTCTGCTGTGTCCATCTGCAGGATGGATGTGGAAAAGGGCAAGATTGAAGACACAGGAGGCAGCGGTGGCTCCTATTCTATCAAAACCCAATTTAACTCTGAGGAACAGTGGACAAAAGCTCTCAAGTTCATGCTAACAAATCTTAAGTGGGGTCTTGCTTGGGTATCCTCACAATTTTATAACAAATGATTTTCTTGTTTTTCTTAGGTGATGTTTGCCTTAAAGGCTTTAAATTTTGTTTGAAAAAATGCTTTAAATTTGGGTAATATTAAACAGCACATGTTTACAATACCAAAAGAGACAAAATCCACAAAAGCCACTTTATTTTAAAATATAGTATGACAGATAGTTTCCAGAGCTAAACATGCCATGTACAGCCTCCTCCCTTGTCATAGTTTTGACTCAACCTCATGCCTTTCCCTCTTTCCCCTAAAAACTACTAATTTAAGTTTGCTTTTTTTTTTAATCTGTGTTGAATTGAGATAGATATGTTTTCACTGGATTTTATCTCTCTTTACCTGCCTACACTTAAAATACGAAATTTTTGTCTCCACTGAGACAATTAAATGTTTGAGGTGCACAGTTGGGTAACATGGGAAAATGACATCTATGTTCTGACCACCATTCCATGTGGTCTGAAGTTGTAATTTAACACTTCCCCTCCATTCTAGTACTGAATGCTTACTCTGCTATGTGTTAGAGCTATGAAACGGTGTTTGATACTGTCTGGGACATGGAAAGATTTAATTATTTGTAATAAAAGATTTGCTACAGTCTGATAATTACTGTGAGGTGTAATGTTGGCTTTCTTTTTAACTAAATTAGAGTACTTTGTGTTCTGGGAGAACTGAGTTCAAGTACAGTTATGTGGAAATTCTGTTGAAACATGCTTAGAGACATTTTAGTTATTAAAAAAAAAAAAAACAAGGAAAGAAACCGGGGCTGGGGTATGGCTCAAGTGGTAAGGAACTTGCCATGCAAGCATAAGGCCCTGAGTTCAAACATCAGTACTGAAAAAAAAATAAAAACTGGAGGTGTGGCTCAAGTGGTAGAGCACCTGGCTTTGCAAACCCCAGTCTCAAAAAAATACATAAATAAAAATAAAAAATAACAGAACAGAGATACTAAGGAGAAATAAATGCTACTACCATGATATTTAGCCAAGGTCACTCAGATAGTCTCTGTTTTTAAGACCCTGGTTAATAGTTACCTCTATGTTTGATGTTTCTTATTAATGAAATTAAGTTAAAGAAAATCCAATAATGTCTTGTTAAACAAAAATGAACCAACTTCACTAATGTCTCTCCTATCTCTTTGACATTTTTAGTCTGATATAACAAAAAATGACATGCTTGTCTGCTTAACTCTTTCTCTGATGCAGAAAAGTATGCATGAAATTGGAATACAAAATATAGTTCAAAAGAAAGTTGGAACTTTTGTACCTTGAGTATGAAAGTAAACAAAGGGAATACAGTGATGGAAGGCTTTTTATATTTGGTGGGTTCAGCCTGCCTCATGTGTTAGAAGAAGCAGCAGCCCTCAGAGCTCTTGCTGCCAAGTGGGGAGGAACAGGCTGCTGTTGCCCTGGAGTGTTGGCTCCCACGCTGTGAGTCAGGATTGCATAAGAGAACTCAGCAATGCTCTCCAAGGCAATGCCAGTGATGCTCTGTAAATGCCCCACAACCTTCAGAAACGGAGACAGATTTCTTATTATTAAATAACCTCAACATGTTTTAGTGCATGTACACACACACACACACTGCTTATTCTCTCAAGCCAAACAAACTTTTTCATTTCTCTGAAAGTACAGGGAGGATTAAATACAGGTTCAAATGTTTGCTAATGGCCAAATGACATAAGGATACCTTTGCCCTGATAGCGTTAGCATGGAAACTTTGTTATTTCTCTCTGCTGGAGATAAGTTTTATGAAATAGGGGATATTTGGGCTTGATACTTTCTCATTTTTGGGGAAAGAGGGAATATTTATTGGACTTTTAACATAATAGTGGATCATAATCATAAAGGGAAATTAACAAGCTGAACTTGGACTTCTGTTTTCAGTTTCATAGAGAAAAACTGGAGAAAACATTTTAGTCCTGCCCTAGTTTTTCAACCCTCTCAAATCCTGCTCAATCATCCTGATCCCAGGTCTTGGCACTTATCTTCTGTAGGTTTTTTCTGTTTTCTTTTAACGTCTGAAGGACAGCTTTCTATTAAATGAATTCTGGCCATGCTGGTCCTGCTCTGTGGCGCATACCTGCCTCCAACACTCATGGTTTTGGATGAAAGCACTTGCTGCAATGATTCCAACTGCCAGCAGCATAAAGTCTTCCTTCACTGAGATAAACTTTTCCCTGAGTGATTAAAACCATATTAATTTTACAGTTAGAATGAAACAAGATCTTCCAAATTCTAGGGTCATAGAACTTCAACTATGAATTGTTTATGTTGATCATCTTGATTTTTTTTAAGACATGGAAGGAAGTGATTAAGTAATAGCTAATTAATCTACTCTCTCATCTTCCCCCACCTCAGCTGGGATTAAAACATGGGCCTTGTGTCTGCGTGGTTTATAGTCCTTTTGTTGTTCCATCTGTCTCCCTAACAAATGTAACTGTGAGGCTTTTGACCATTTTGACTTTAAAATAATCAAATACTTTTGTCCAAGTTACATCCCTGTGAATGAATGGCTTTTTTTCCCAAGTGGCCATAAAAGCAGTCCAGTAATTTCAAATTATAAATGGCTATAAAGGAAGAACTAGGAAGTATATTAATTACTTGAAGCAATTGGAGTTTAAAAGTAAAAGTCTTTGGGTTTTCCTGATTGGGCTCAGCCATATGCATCCAAACAATGTGGTGGAAGTTAATGAGAACCGAGTAATCTAAGGTAATTCCATTCCCCCATTTTTTGTTTTGCTTTGTTTTCTGTTTTGCAATGGTGGATACTGAACTTACTAGGCAAGTGCTCGGTAAGTGAGCTGTTTCCCCTCTCTCAGTTCCTGGAAGGAGCCTACTGTAGATGCTTACCCTTGCAGTTGACTGGGTGTGGAGTTCTCAATTGAAGCCTTCAGCAGACTCTCATATATGGGTTCATGCAGAAGATAAACCAGGTCAAGCAGGGTCAGGCAGGTTGCATGTAGCTGTGTGGCTGGGACCAAACAGCCATTGTATCCTAGATGGAGTGTGGAGAATGGAAGGAAGCATGAACCGGGTATTCTCTGATAATTGCCACCGTTGTCTTATGATATAAAGCTGTTTAGCTGCTAATGTGCTTCCTGGTTGCTATGTTCTATGATAAGAAACCTGTTTAGCAGAAAGTCAATTTTAAAGGACAAAGGGACAGATAGAGAAACCTCCATCAATAGTATGTATACAATTACAGTACATTTGTTCCTCTCTTATCTTATGCATCTCCATAAAATCAGCTCTTTGATCCTGCAATAAGAAAGTGCCTAGTGAGTCCAAATAGAAACCAGTTGCTGAGGCCTCTGGCTACTTTCCTCATTTCCTAGAGGGAGCACCTTTTTCAGTTATTCAGAGACCATCAGGTTTCCTACTGTACTTCATTGGCAGGTTCCCAAACCCCTGGGCACATTTATTGCCTTCTATGGAAGCCTCCAACCCACATTTTCTGACACAATTAAAGTACCTAAGACTTCAAGGAGCATCTCCACGTATGCCAGAGGGGTGGGCAGATTTATTTGGAAGTTCAGGGATTTCAAAACATCAAGCTCTGACTCTAGCAATTCTTCTTTAGTGTAAAGATACCCTAGAGCCTGCAGGAAATTCAAGACTGTAATGTTGCTGATTATCTGAACAAAGAAAAATAAAACAGGGAGAAAAAGATGTCAGGATACAAGGCAGAGTGTACAAAGCCCTTCATAGTCCAGCCCATACCTCAATGCCATTCTATTCTCTTGGTATTTCCACCTTGAACCTTATGTTTAAGGTGTACAGAATTACTTGCAGTTCCCAAACCCACAATGGTTTCCTCTTTAAGATGCTACACATCTGCTTTCTGTATCTGGACCTCCCTCCCTTTCCTTCCCCTTCTCTCTCCCTGCCCTTCCTAACTTTGTTCCTTCTTTTCTTAGGATCCACCCATTTTCCACCCACTTCAAGAAGTCATTTTCTCTATACTTCAGCACTCCAAGGCTGATGAGGTATATTCTTAGCCTCTATATTTACACTAATCAGAGCACCTTTTCACCCTGTTTGTATAATATGTGTCTTTTCCCATTAGATAATGATTTCCTTGAGAGCACAGACAATATTTTTACTATTGTAGTCATGGTTCCTACTGCAGCATCTGGCCACTGAAGAAACTCAATAAATATTTACTGAATGAGTGATACTTTACTGTACAGGCAATGAACAGTGATGTGGAAACTTTTTATTCTTTTTAAGTGTAGTAGTTTGCCTTCAATGCTGATAGGTATGTTGGCAATTCAGGTACCTTATATAAACTGTCCTTGAGTCCAAGGGTAAGAAAGGTGACCTGTATGAATAATGGCATCTGTCCAGCAATTATACTTTGGGAACAGAACTCCAGGCTATTTAGTAATTGTGTGTGTGTGTGTGTGTGTGTGTGTGTGTTTAGGAGGTATGCTTAGAAGCATAATTACCCTCTGGAATTTTCACATGAGTAGTATCACTTAGCTTAGGAGTAGGTTTCTCACAGCCACCTTCAATGAGCTGATTTCCTTCTAACATTTAGGTGCCCAATGAGCAACCCCAGCTCCTTACTTTGTAATGGAAGGAAAGTTTGCTGGCCAGCTGAACACACGAAACTAGATGGAGAATAAATTTGTTGAAAAGCTGCTCTTTCAGAGCCCTCCAATTCTGAGAGTCTGTCTTTTCATTCTCTCTCAACTGGATGGTGGCTTGCCTGCAGATATTCTCTGCCTGCTTTACCATAAACCTGTAAGGAAGGGAAGGAGAAAGTAAACAACCTATAGTCATACAAATTAAAGGGAGTTTGTGCCTCAAACTCTGCTACATTTTATCCTCTCAGGTATCAAATACTGACTAGAAATTTACATTTGCAAGTAAAAGAGGATGTACCTTGTTGTTCCAACTGTTTCCCTAACAGTACTTTTTAAAGATTTAGGCACATTAGCTATTCTGAGGGGATATCTCACAAAGGCCTTATGCTCAGGGTTTTACCTTTCCAGGATTTCTACAGCCTGATAGCTCACAGATTTCTCCAGACACCATTGTTCAGACAGGAGAAAAACAAACTCTGCCAAAACAGGAAAGAAGAGCTTTAATTCACAAGATGCAACCAAAACCATTCCATGAACTCTTGGCATTGTGTAAAAGCCATGATGGGGCTAAGAGAAGAGGGTCAGAAGGTGGGAAAGATGAGACTAAAACAACCAAAGCTGAGCTTAGTTTCCCTTGCTGCCAATAGGCAGATCAGAGACATGAAAAGGGAAGCTCAGTGCCAAAGTCAAGGTCTCACCAAGCCCCCTCAGTGACTCTTGAGCCATCCTGTGAGTCTCAGTTGATAAAAGGCTTGGCCAGTTACACAGAAAAGTACTAGCTGGCCTAGTTGGCCTCTACACCATGCTGGGAACCCCAAGCTTCAAGGAAGATTCTTGGATGGATAAAAACCCTAACCTCTATATTCTGTTTTCAGTGGAATGTTGGCAGAAACAGAAAGGTCCCTCCTGGAGCTTCGATAGTCTTTATGATACTGTTTGTTTAGTCACCACCCTCTGGAGAACTCCCATTGCTTTACAAACACAATTCACCTTACAGCTGGACACCACCTCTCCACCACCAGTTTGTTGGGTAAATCTATGGTGGCTGGGCTTCTCCCCAGGAGCAAGTTTATTACTGTGGATCGACTTGTTTTGAAGAAACATCCCCTAATTCAGGGAACATAGCTCAATTTAGGGGGAAGGAATTATTGGGAAGGTGGGAAAGGCAAGATACCGTGGCAAGATTTTAGCCTGCTTCTGTTTCTCTTTGAAAGAACAGTTCTAGATAGAATTCTGTTTAGTTTGCAATGTCATTAGAGGGTGGAAACAAGGGTAAATGTCAGTTCTCAACCGTGAAAGCTCCTGCAGACCTAAGAATTTTTAACATTGACCAGCAAAGAATTACAGAGTAAGTATCCTTTATCTGAAGTGCTTGGGCCAGAACTGTTTCTGAATTCAGAGTTTATTCAGATTTTGGAATATTTGCATACCTAACCTGGAAATCTAAGATCTAAAATGTTCCAAAATCCAAAACTTTTTGCACATCATGTTGACACTCGAGTTTCACATTTTTGGATGCTCATCCTGTACATTATCTTATGCATTCAGACAAAATATGACTTTCTTAGAAGAAAAAAGTCATATTTTATTGTTAAATAAAAGTCAAGCTAGCACAAGACAGTTTAACAATCTTCTTGATACAAATTACACATAGATACAGGAACCACATCTGGCTAGCAATGTCCAACACTGAAGAAAATTACACAATTCAGCAAAATGCTCTAGAACACATAGTTATGTGTTATGAGGCTGTCTTTTTATTTGCTTACAGCTTAGTTTTGGGGGGTGTGTATGTATGTACATACAGCTGTGTGATTTTGTTTTGAGATTTGGTCTGAATTATCTGGGCATTTCTTTATATTTTCCATTTTAATTTTCCAAGAAAATTAAAATTAGTGGGATGGATAATGGTTACACCCCCCTTTTGCTACTGGCGCCACCTTCTCTGCTTACAAGCATACTCAAATATACTATTAATTAAAAGATCTTCCCCCTCCACCCTCTTTAGGAAGTCACCATCTGTCTTCATCCCATCCCTGTTGAATTTCTTGAAAACTTGGCTTATACACATCTGCTGCTTCCACTTTATTATTCACCCCTGAATTTTCTACAAGTTGACTTTCACCTTTCCCAGTTTGCCAAATGACCATCTCAAGAGCCTACAAATATCCCCAATTATTAAATTTCATGGCCTTTTTCCAATACTCATTCCTGTTGATATCCCCAAGGCATTTGAAACTGCTGACCACGATCCTTCTGGAAACTCTCCTGTTGCCTTCCAAAAGTCCTTGGTTTATTCTCACCTTCTCAACTATTCCTTTTAGTTCCCTCATGACTCTTTCCTACTCCAATTCCCTGAACACAAAATGTTTCCCAAGGAACTGTCCTTGACTTGCTTGTCTTTTCACCTTTCAGGAGCTCATCCTCTGCCACAATTTCAACAATATCATTATGAAGATAGCTTGAAAACCTTTATTTCTAGTTCTGATCTTTTAAAACAGCCTGCTGGAAACCTTCCTCTAGATATTGTTCAAGTGTCTTAAACTCAGTAGATCCAAACCCAAAGCAATTCTTTTTCCCAAACAAAAATCATATTTCCTCTTCTAATTTTAATGTGTGTTTCTCTTAATGGTGCTTTTCTACTCCCAGTCTGAGACTCAACCCTTTGGCATAGTCATCTTTTCCTTCTTCGTTTCTTAAATTCACCCAAATTAGAACCCTAGATTTTGCCTCCAAAATATTTTTTAATCAGCCCTCCTTTGTCATTCCTTCTGCCCTGTCACCTAACTACTGACACAGGCTTCTCTGGTTTTTCTCCCTCTTATCTCTTTCTAGTCATTTCCATCCTTTACATCACATCCAAAATAGTTTTTACAGAGGCAAAAGTTACAGCCATACCAGAGTTCCTTATCTTAAAACTTCTAATGTCTTCTAGAATTCCAACTAAACCAAGTTTAAACTCCTCCCCTTGATATTCAAACTTCCACTTTGAATGTTTTCACACCACCTTTCTGGTCTTAACTTCTACTGCTCTTCCACATGTTCTGTCCAACAAAGGCTACACTGTGCCCACATACCCCCTTTATTATTCTATGCTATTACAGCAGAAATGCTGTCCCCTTCTGCCACTCCAACCAACCAAAATGTCACCCTTTTATTCAAGATCTCCCCCAATGCCTGGAGTTAACTCTTCCTATCACCTCCTCACTCCTTTCAATCCCCACAAAAGCTTGTCTTACATGTCTTATGTCACTCATCCAACTATACCTGTACCCAGTCATTTGCATATCTGTCCTGTTATCCTCCCCGCCAAAGATTGGGCATAGTTTGAGAGCAAGGACTCTAATATATCCCTATTTTATCCTTCTGTCCCAGGCAGTGTCAATAATTTGTACTCTCCACATGTTGAAGAAATCAAGGGTAGGGTACTGTGTGCCTTGTTCCTCACTGTAGTCCCAGCACCTTACGTAAAGGGGATACCAATAAAACATTATCTGAATGAATAAAAACAAACTGAATCCAAATTCAGTGTCTCAAAGATTCCCATAACCCCGGCTTCCTGGCCCTGCATCCACACCCACGATGCGGGTCTCCCTGAAGCTGCCCATCCGTCCCGCTGCTTCCTGCACTGCCTGCTCATTCTGTTGAGCCAAGTGAAGCAGAGCGTCCTCGATGGTCTCTGTGGCAACGGCTCCAAACTGAAAGTCACTGAGGGAGGCCAACCTTGGCCTCACACGTCTGTCCATAATCACAACTCTTTTGGAGCACTGGGACTGTTCACTGGATCTATAAACCGCCCCTTTGGCTTCGCTCCACAGTCTTTCGTCAATACTGTGGATTCCTCCGCCCCTTCCAAAGTTTGTCCTCGCCTCAAGTCTGAGGAAAACCTAATCCCCACGACAGCCTCGAGCCCTCCACTGTCTTTCCCTCCCCAACGGTCGCGGACCCCTCAGCCAATCACAAAGCACAACCGCTTCCCGCCTCTCCTGCCCTCGCGCCAGGGCCAAGTGCCCTTGCTCTGGCGTGGGAGGGAAACGACAAAGAAGCGGACTACAACTCCCAGCGTTCTCTGCGGGGAACAAGGACTACTATTCCCAGCGATCCCAGCGACCGGCGCGGGAAGGGCGGAGCGGCAACATGGCGGCGCCGGGGTCTGGTGATCCTCTTGATGCGAAGAATGAAAAGGCCCCGTTCGCTCAGCGCATCGACCCGACACGGGAGAAACTGACTCCCGCGCAACTGCATTTCATGCGGCAAGTGCAACTTGCACAGTGGCAGAAGACGTTGCCACAGCGGCGGACCCGGAACATCGTGACCGGCTTAGGCATCGGTGCCCTGGTGTTAGCTATTTGTATCCTCCTATTTGTACCGCACATAGGGATAGGGTCAGGGGAACAGAAGCCTGTAGGAGGGCCGAGCCAGTGTTTAATGTTTGGGTAAATTGGGGTTAATACCTAAACTTGTTATTTGTTTGTTTTTGTGGGCCTGGGGTTTGAACTTAAGGCTTGGCACTTGCAAAACAGGCATTCTACAACTTGAGCCACACCTCCAGTACTAAATTTGTTCTTTCTAAGCTTTTCTTGGACTGGAGTTTGAACTTAGGGACTCGCACTTGCAAAGCAGGCACTCAAGAGGTGCTTGACCCACACCTCTACTCCATTTTGTTCTGGCCATGTTGGAGATAGGATCTCACAAACTATTTGCTTGGTCTAGTCTCGAACCAGTGTCCTCCCGATTTCAGCCTCTGAAGTAGCTAGAATTACAGGTGTGCACCACTGGCGCCTGGCTCTAAGCTGCCCTTTTAATATGATTTAGTTATAATAATGGAGTTGAGGCTAAGATTCAAAAAGAGCAAAGTCGCCAGTCCAGAATCACCGATTTAGAAGAATGGGGGAATAACAAAGTTGGTGGGAAAAGAGAATATTTATATTCCAAGTGGTTTCCTCAACCCACCTCTCCAGATGGCTACACCTTCTACTCGGTGTCCCAGGAGCGTTTCCTTGATGAGTTGGAAGATGAAGCCAAAGCTGCCAGAGCCCGAGCTCTAGCAAGGGCGTCAGGACCCTGAACTGGATGGACATTAGATATCTTTAGCCCACTGGAGCCCCTTCCTATGATGAATGATGCCCCATGACCCTGTAGAAATTTTGGTGTTGGGAGACCATGCTCACAACATCACTGGCCTATTTACTAACTTTGGACCATGATTGAGCCCCAGAAGCCATAGACTATGCTTCTATGGCTATTTGGCCTCTGTCAGTGGAATATTGCCCATTTCACATGCACGGTGTACAGTTATTGAGCCCTTCTTGCTTGTTTCCTTGTTTGAGAGGTATGCAACCTTGACTTTCCCCAAACTTTCTAACTTTGTGGTTTGCCCCTTCACTTCCCAGGGGCCCAGCTGTAATGCGGGTGGGGGTGGTAGCTCTGTACAGTGCTGGAGCATAAAGTGGGAAAAGATAGGGCCAAGTTAAGAATAATAAACTGAATCATCTCTCCTGAAGCCAAGTTAGTGTGTGGGGCCTTGAGACATACATAACACTTCATGCTGGAAAGTTCCTTGGGCAGTAGCTGCAATTGTGGCATTGCCTCCAAGTAGCTGTAAATGTTTAACTAGAATTACTTTTTCCCTGAGATCTTTCCTCATGATTCAAGGGAGAGATTACTGGGCTGTTTGAAACTGAACCAGGTCTTAGGGGAAGAAAGGTCACTCTTCTGTCCTCTACCCTCAAGAACTCACTCTTAGGCTAACTTCAGTGCCTTTTCACATCCCTAGATGTGGCTGTAGTCTGAGAGACAAGTAGCCTTCGTTCTTTTAACTTGCACTGGTGCCTGCCTATACAGGCCTCCGGTGGGAATGTTAGCTGGCCAACTGTATCAGTGACCTTGCAGTTTCCTCATGACTTGGTGGCAGGAAGCCAGAAGGCTGGGCAACTTCCACCCTGCCTCCCATTGTGAAAGGAGAGTCCCTTCTAAGTCCTTCCCTGCCTCACCCCCCCACAAGTCTTTGCCCCCAGTTCTTAAGACATGACAGATACACATCCACAGCCCTTATTTTCAGTATTTTTTATTGGCTGCTGCTAGTTCTGAAGTGAGCACACATCCCCTCAACAGTCTTCTAGCTGGGAATGGGCCATCGAGAAGCATCTAGGCTTGGGTAGGATTGTTTAGTGGTTGACCCTTGGCTGGGGAGAGGGGGAAGATGAAGATGGGAGGCTGCAGAACTGACAGTCCACATGGCAAACAGTTCCCACATGTTTGACTCTTCAGTGTAATACAGCCCCACGCTCCACGCCCCTAGGGCCTTCTTACTCCCTCAGTGCTGGGTCTTTTTGCTGAGTTGAGTTGGTCAGAAAAGCATCAAGTTCTGAGAGCACAAGCGCCACGGTGGGTCCTGGTGTGGGGGAGACACCTGGCTTCTGATTTCACTGGAGGGAAAAAATGTGCTGAAGAAAACTCGAAGGTGGGAGGAAGGTGAAACTGCTGTCAGTTACCATTCCCTGGTCTCTCCCTCCCTTGGGCCCGCCCTCACCATCCTGCCAACATCCCCGGCGAATGTCACCCCTTTGCTTGCCCGCTGTTCCTGGGAGCCTGTGCTGCTACCACTCAGGGAGTTCCTTCGGATGATACCTGGGAACAGGACAGAGAAAGGAGAGCACTAAGTGAGGGAAGGCGCAGCAGAGAGGAAGGCTAGGGCCTGGCAGTCAGTAGGGAAGGGATCTCAGGAAAGATGGAAGCAAGGTGGCTGTAGTCTCACCAGGGCCAGGGGGCTCGGAGCGCTGCAGGCTGTTGCGGCGGGAGGTGGGGAAGCTGCCCTTGGAGAGGCGGCGCTGGCGGCTGGACAGCATAGCAGCAGGGGACACAATACCTGGTGGGGGCTGCTTCCCAAGTTGGCTATACAAATCCTCAATTTCCTTTTTCTGTAGTGTCTGTAGTGCCTCTACCTCTGACAAGTGCCTGGGGATGCACCAAGGGCATGAGAAGTTTAGCCATACTTTGCTATCCTAAGTTCGCCTCTTGGCTCTGCCATCTTCCCCAGACTTACTTCTGCCGAAGATTCTGCAGCTCAGCCCAGAACTCCTCATCCTCCCCGCTGCTCTCTGACTCCTCACTACTCAGACACAGGCTGCTGTAGGAGTAGTTCATCCATACTGGGCTGGGATGGCTCATGGGTGGAGAGGTGCCCCCAACTTGAGGTTCTTTCCCATTGTCCCCATCCTCCTCAACTCCAACCACTAGGCCCTCGGCTGCACGGTCACTCTCAGCCAGAGCCTCTCTCATCTCTGGCCTGCCTCCAGCACTATCCTCTGTGTCTGAGCTCTCTGAGGTCAGCTGAGGGGTTGGAAGCTTTAGAGAACTGGAGAGAGTTGGGGATGTTGGTTGAAGGGGAAGAGGCTCAGCTGGTTCCTTGGATGAAGTCACTTGAAAACGCCCAACAACTTGGGGCTTTCCCTCTGCAGGAAGAAAAGGAAGGAAACATGTTGAGTTAGAGAAATATGGACAGCTGCTATGGCTGTCCAGCCACCAGTGCCACCTCTCCAAGGGCAGCTTCCCCACCACCTGTTGGAAGGACAGAAAGTGGGCTAGGAATAATGGGCAGGGTCACTGATCAGAGGCCTCACCTTCAGAGATGGGTGCTAGTCTGGTTTCGCCCAGGAGTGGCTGAGCAGGATTGGACGAGGCCTACAAAGTGTGGATCCTTTAGAGGGGAAATGATCCAGAACGGAGCTCCCCTAATCATCCCTCTTGATTTCTTACTCACCTCACTCTCTGTCTCTGCTGTTTGGGGTAAAAGGCTCTCCTGGCCACAAGGAGCAAAGGGAGAGGGATAGGGCAGGCTAGGTAGGGGACCAGGAGGGGCTAAAGAAGATTGGGAAAGGAGCCCAGAATGGGGGGACAGCAGGGACTGGGCCACAGTCATTACAGCCAGAGAAAAGGCACTAGCCAGAGAGAGGAGAGGGGCTGCGGTGGTAGAGGGGAGGGGTGTTGGGGAGGGGAAAGGAAAAGAAGAGGGATTAAGAGTGACCTGGGAACAACCAGGAGAGAATGGAGGTGGAGGACTGGTGGGGAGAGAACTCAGGGGAAATGGGGAGGATGGGATTGGAAACTGAGATTCGGTGGGGGAGAATGGAAGTGGAGAGCTGGGGGATGGTGGTGAGGGATTTGAGGAGACCTGGGAGAATGGGAAGGGGCTGGGAGATACAGGAAAGACTGCCCCTGGGAAGATGGGGGTTTCAGGGGAAAATGGGTTTCCAGGAGACAGGGGAGTTCCTGGAGAAGATGGGGAAATGGAGAAGGCTGCCCAGCTCTGTTCCAGAGAGATGCTGTTCTGGAGCTCTGCTGGAGAGGAGGAAGTATTGAGATTCTAGTCCATTATGCCCTGTACCCTTCCCAGTAGAAAGCCAAGGGTTGGAATGAGCAGGGACAGAACTCAGTACATACCACTGGATGGGTCTGGGAGAGGATTTGGGAGTGCAGGCAGTGGTGCTGGCTCTTCCTGGGGGAGAAAAAGGGGCCCACAGTCACAGTGAAGAAAGCTTAATCTCAAATGGAAGGTTCTGGACTGGGATTCTTAAACTAGGACCCAGGAGCCTCTAGGATTCCAGACATGAGTTTCAAGGGATTCAAAAGTGTATGTGCTGAAATATTTAGGGGTAAAAGGGCATGAGATCTGCCAACTCACTCTCAAGTGGCTCAGAAGAACATAATATGTGTACATACACAGAGCAGGGAGAGGGGAAGAATGGTAAAGCTACTTGAAAAAATACTTAACTGGCAAATCTGGGCAAAGGGTAGCTAGTAGCTCTCTACAATTATTGCAACTTTTCTCTGCAAGTCTGAATTACTTCAAAATGAGTTAAAAGTACTCAACACATTCAACACGTTTTTTTTCTAGTAGAATCATGGCTTTCATCATATACTCAAATGGGCAAGAACCACTGTTTTAAGGTCTCAAAGGTGAAGAAGAGTTAATCCAAGAAGACCCATTGAAGGCAGAGAGCTCTGGAGTAGAGTCTTTTCCTCTTAGAGGCGTCCAAAAAGCCTGACCTGGGGGGTTAGGGTGTCTTCAGCAGCCTCTGTGGGGCCAGTATCTCTCTTCAACAGGGTCTCCACTCGCTGGATAATTTCCCGGATCCGGCTTAGGAATCCCTCTCGCTCCGAGGGCAGAATGAACTCATTATATACCTGGCAAGGGTTAACAGGATAGGGAGGAGGCTCAGTAATCTCACTCATTCCTGCCATCTGTTCCTCATCTTTAAAACCAACCATTCAAGCTGGGCGTGGTGGATATACCTGTAATCCCAGGACTCAGGAGGTGGAGGTAAGATTTCAAATTTGAGGCCAGCCTCAACTTGTATAGCAAGTTCCAAGCCAACCTGAGCTACATAGAAAGATTGTCTCAAGAAACAAAGGACTGGGGATGTAATTCAATGGTAGAGTGCTTGCTTAGCATGTGCAAAGCCTTGGGTTCCTACCCAGCACTGTAAAGAAAGAAAAAAAAAAAAAAACTCATACTACTGCTTCTGACAATCACAACCTAAAACAGACATCAACTAAGAGTCTGTTGTGTTCCAGGCACGGTGTGGTTCCTAGAAGAAAAGAAGCTAATGTTCTAGGATGTGTACTGTGTATGCCAGTGCTTTCCTCACAGCATTACCTTTGACATTTAGAATAGCATATTCACTTTAGAGTAAAGACAACCAATGCTCCAAGAGGTTAATTGCAGGCTGTCTGAGGTCACATGATTTGAAACCAGGCCTACAGAAAGTCAGAGCCTAAGTTCTTCCCACTGTTGTCTTGCCTCATTTTGGACACAATTTCTGTTTGTAAATAATACCACACATGATCATTTACGTGTTTAGCAAAATAAGACAGCACGCTGCATTGTGCTAGGTACTGTAGAGCACAGGGAAGCATGAAACAAGGTCCTAATTTGTTGGGGGGTTTTGGCAGTACTGGAGATTGAACTCAGGGCCTTGCACTTACTAAGCAGACACTCTCACTTGAATCATGCCCTGTACTTAGGTGTTTGATGCTCAATTATCTGGGTGCTTTTCCTTGTTCTTGTTCTCGGTACTGGGGGCTTGAACTTAGGGCTTTGCGCTTTTGAGGCAGGTACTCTACCAGATAAGCCACACTTCCAGCCCCCAACATTCTAGTTTTAATGAAACCCAAAACCTAATAGAGGAGATACATAAATACACAACATACTGCAGGTCACCCTATGATAGGTAAGGTAGAATTCTTAGGAGCCTTACATATGGTGAGTATAACCAGAAATACTGTTGGGGGCAGAAGAGCTGCTGTTTAATGGCTATAGCATTTTAGATTTGCAAGATGAAAAACTGAGAATCTATTTCATAACAATGAAAATGCTGGATGCTACTGAACTATATATTTAATACAGTTAACATAGGTGCGACTCAAGTGGTAGAGTGCCAAGCATGAGGCCCTGAGTTCAAACCCCAGCAACTACCAAAGAAAAATGGTTAAGATGGTAAATTTTATGTTGTGGTTCATTTTTGCTACCATAAAAAACATGCTAAACTGGGTGCCCGTGGTTCACATATATAATTCTAGCTATTCATGAGGCAGAGATCAGGAGGATCTTTGTTCGAGGCCAGCAGGGCAAATAGTTCAGCGATCCTATCCTGAAAATTCCCAACACAAAACAGGGCTGATGGAGTGCCTCAATTAGTAGAGCACCTGCCTAGCAATCATGAAGCCCTGAGTTCAAACCCAAAATAAAAATTTTTATTTTGTAACCAGTACCACCAAAATATAAAATTTAAAGAAAGCTAAAAGGCTGGGCACTGGTGGTTCTTGAGAGGCTGAGATCAGGAGGATAGCAGTTTGAAGGCAGCCCGGGCAAATAGTTCGTAAAACCCTATCTCCAAAATAACCAGAGCAAAATGGACTGGAGGAGTAGCTCAAGTGGTAGAGCACCTGCTTTGCAAGTGCAAAAGCCTGAGTTGAAACCCCAGTCCCACCAAAAAAGAAAAAAAAAAAGTTAAAAGTCTGTAATTGATCAGTACCTCCCCCACACTCAAAAAACTGTTATTTTTCCCTTATTTCAATAAGGGAACAGGTCATACAACCCTGAGGATGGGAGAATCTGTGACAACTTCACACAGCAACTTCACCTCTGAAGAAAGATAAACAATCCTTTACTGAGGGCCTACTGTGTAAGGCCACTTCTCATGCAGTATACCATATTTTGTCAGAACATCTTTTCAAAACAAGTATTATCACCTGTTGAGCAACTGAGGCTCAGAGAGGCTAAGAAACTTGCCCAAGGGACTCGGAGTATAGCTCAGTGGTAAAGCACTTACCCAGCATGCACAGGTCCTGGGTTTGACCCTCCTCCCAGAACAGCAATAAAATGAAATTAAAACATCTTGCACAAGTTCACCAAATTTCAACTGAGCTAAAATTTGAACTCAGGTATTACATGGAAGTCTACTCTTTCTTCTATTTTGCCCTGTTCATTAGGAAGAGAAAAGAGACAGTTTGGGCAGAAAGAGCAGCAAAATAGTTTTGAGGCATGAAAGACATGGCACATTCTGAAAACAGTGAGAACCCTGGTATAGCTGAGTGGGCTGTGAATTTTAAAGATGTGCTTTGTAATTTTGTCCTTTATTAACCACAAGTGGCTGAGAAAGATTTAGAGATGAAAAGCAGGAAGATCAGATCCAAGTCTCAGAAGAACTCTGCTGCAGAGGGAGTAGACCCTGAGATCAGGGGCTGAGTGGATATGTAAGTCCAGGACAGAAAGCTCAGAGATGGTATCCTTGAGCAGCTGGAGGCAGAGGCAGGAAGGCACCCAGCATTCTAAAGAAGATCATTCAGAAACCAGTGTGGCTAGAAGGAAGATTCTGGAGGGGGTCAAGAAGCTTAGTGTTAGGTGACAAGCCTTATGTGCCAGGTGGTAGTCTTCTTTGTCCTGAACATAACATAATGATATGATGGAAGAGATACTTTAGAGAGAGTTCCTGAGGCCTGATGTTTGTCCCATTCCCTTTTCTCCATCACCTCAGAGGCTGGCATCCACTGCCCTACTCTATTGAAAATGGTCTTCCAAAAAGACCTAGCAAAAATCAGTATGGTTTTGCACCAGGCTTCACCTTATGCCACCTCCTTGAAATTCCTAACTCAGATTTTACTAACACCTTCCTACCTTTCTGGCTCTATCCCTGTGTCCTTCCATGTCTTATCTTCCCCATTCCCATTCTAGACCAGGTGATATTCACTGAGACACACTTCTCAAACCCTCTATGTCACTGGCCCTGTAGTCCCATCTTCCTTCCACTTCAATTCTGTATTGACAACTTCTACACACACCTCTCTCCAGCTCTGCCTCACTCACATACCTGTTGTTAGGGAGGGCCTTCTCTGGCTGTCAGTTAAGCTCATCATGACCCCTAAAAAGGCCTGCTTTTCAGACTGGGTGCTGTAATCCTAGTTACTCAGGAGGCAGAGATCAGGAAGATTGTGAAGGCCCTGAGTTCAAGCCTCAGTACTGCAAAAAAAAAAAAAAAAAAAAAGCCTACTTTTCCTTCCTACTTTCTCTCTCTGAGAGAAATCTATAGATCCTCCAAGCTATAGGTCACCCTTGATATCTCCTCTCCCTAACTCCTTATCATATCAACTCAGCAAATACTTATTGGCCATCTATTACCTGTACTGTACTCTTAACAAGTTACTAGATTACAGAGCAATTTATTTTCCTGAACCAACACTCAGATTCACACTTTTTCCTGCCCTTATAATCCATGCTCTCTTTCATCTACATCTGGCTTCTTGTGACTACCTCCCAGCTGGATTTCATACCCCTAATCCCCTCCCACATCCCATGCGGTAATGGTCTTCATGAAACCTATTTGCACCATGTTACACTCCACCTAACTCCTAATTCTGTCTCTGATCTGTGCTCGCTCTACCTGCCCATACCCACCTCCCATAATTTTCTTATAGGAACCCTTACTTCCAGTGACAATGGTTTCTCATGAAGCCCTTCCAGTCCCATATTCTACACCTCCAGTTAGAGTCTTTCCACCCTTCACTGCCTTTTCTCTACCTGCCACTCCTTCTCCTGATGTCCTGGCCTGTCCTTTACCTCCAGCTCCAGTATCACACATGTAGCATGCACTTCACACACAGTCTATGTTAGTCTCAAATTGCTGCAGCTGCGGAGCCAAACCAGACTAGTTAAGAAGAAATCTCCCAAGCAAGGCTGAGACATCATCAATGTCACTGTGCTGAGTAACCACTGGTACTTTATAAATCCTTGCTGTGGGATTGGGGTGTTTCAGTGCCAGTGAACATCAGGAGGGAGACTTATGTCCCATCCAAATGCTCTCTTCTCATCTCTTTCCCTCTCACCATGGCAGCTGCAATCTCTTCTGGGCTGTCTCCATCCAGATCAAATCGGAAGGTCACCATCTTGCTGTTGTGGGTCTGCAGCTGGCATTCAACCACCCTGTCATTCTGGTCTGAGACCTTCAGATTCAAAGTCAGCAGAGGGAAGGAGGTCAATGTCTTCATCATGTGTTCCCACCCTAGTCCAGTCAAGTGACAGTGGCCAGACTGGATCTGGAGAGTAGATGCTACCCCCAAAGTCTAGTATTAGAAACTAGACTGGCTGCCCTTTTACTCCCTCTTCCACCTGACCTCTCTCATCCCCCTGACAGTTCCCTCCTGGCCCTTTTAATTATTCTTCATCTCCTGTGCACCTCCTTACACTAGTGACCCGCAGCCGGGATCGGGGTCTTCGCCGGAGAGTCTTCCCTGGGGGTCTCTTTATCCGTCCCAAACCTTCTCCCATGTCACTGAGGCTTGATGCTGCATCTGAGGCATAGCTGGAAAAGGAAACAGAGATAGGAAGGTCTGAAAGGACCCTAAGACCCCATAGCTCCAGATGTTTCACCCTGGCACCTCTGGTCAGACCAGAACATACCTGTCCCCAGGGGAAAAATCACTGCCAGGGCCAGAACGTGGAATGGACAAGGCAAAAGCCTGAAATAGAAAAAGGGTTCGTCAGCTGGGGAACAACTGTTGGGATCCAGGGATATGGTCTCAAGGATGCTGGGAGGATACTGGGGAGATACAACTGGGGAAGATAAGGACTAGAGTGATGGGTTTCTAGGGCTAGGGACAGGTTATGGAATTAGGTTTCACAGGCAAGGTCATAGGCTTAGAATGGCTGAGAGCCCCCCCAATGTGATCCCCTCTCACCGAGGGCAGGCAGAGATGGGACTCAGCTGGGCTGGATGGCACCCCTCCAGGGGGCTGCAGGGCAGGGTCTGAGGCATCCAGGAAGCCAGAGGAGCTGAGGTAGCCATCAGTCTCACAATCAGCTGGTGGGGGAGGGAGGGCATCAAAAAAGAAATAAAGGGCAGTGGTGGTAGAAGAGAGGAGCAGCCTGGGGCAAGGAGAGTTGCTAGGTCGGACTTGGTGGAGGGGATGCGGGAGTGGGGCACAGACCAAGGGTTCTGAGACCTAGATCCTAAGGGGTGACTTACAGGTGGTAGATGAGTAGCTGGCATGGCGGAAGAGGAAGGACTGGTGCTGGTCTGCCTCTGGCTCCTCAGACTCAGGAGTGAAGGAACTGGAGGGACCAGGAGCCACGGAGACAGTTGCTGGTGGAGGTCCTGGCTCTGGTGGGAGGGCCTCCAATTCTCTAGCTTTTCGAAGTTTCTCACGTTTTCTCTGGATGGCAGCAACCCGTTCACGAACTGCACGGGCCACTGGCTGGTAATCAGCTTCACAGACCAAGCCCAGAGCCACCTGAGGTCAAGAGGGTGAGGAAGATAGTTTGGGATTCCCCCTCAAAGATCCATCTGGACACCTTCTTGAGGCTTCTAGGATATGGGAGGAAGGTGACCATTTATTGATTACCCAGTATGTCCATTAACTGGCAACTGGCAACTCTTTAACATTGTTAACCATTAAATTCTCTCAATAGCATTGTGGCATAAGACTTTTTTTTTTTTTTTGAGACCTTTTTTTTTTTTAGATAAGGTCTTACTATGTAGCCCAGGTTAGCCTTGAACTCTCGATCTCCTGCCTCAGCTTCCTGAGTGCTGGGGTTACAGGTGTATGCCACCATGCCTGGCTTGACATAGTTCTTATCAGACCATTTTATTTATTTTTTTTTGGTGGGATTAGGGTTTGAACTCAGGGCTTCATGCTTGCAAAGCAGGCACTCTACTACTTGAGCCACACCTCCAGCCCTTATCAACCCATTTTATTTTTTATTTTTATTTTATTTTTGTGGTATTGGGGTTTGAACCCAGGACCTACACCCTGAGCCACTCCACCAGCCCTTTTTTTGAAGGGTTTTTGGAGATAGGGTCTTGTGAACTGTTTGCCCAGGCTGGCTTCAAACCTTGATCCTCTTGATCTCTACCTTCTGAATAGCTAGGATTATAGGTGTGAATCACCAGTGCCTGGCTATTTATTTATTTGCCATACTGTGGTTTGAACTCAGGGCCTACACCTTGAGCCACTCTACCAGCCCTTTTTTGTGTTGGGTATTTTCAAGATTGGGTCTTGAAAACTACTTGCCCAGGCTCACTATGAACCTTGATCTTCCTGATCTCTGCCTCTTGAGTAGCTAGGATTACAGGCACGAGCCCTAGTGCCTAGCTATCAACCCATTTTAAATACAAGCAAATTAAAAAATAAATAATATAAAAAATAAATACAAGCAAATTAAGTGACGAGCTTGTGATTGTTTAGTAAGTCAGTGATTTCAATGTATGTGTGTGTGCGTGTGTGTGTGTGTGTGTGTGTGTTAGTGTTAGGGGTGGCTGTGGCAATATTTACAGACATTTTAGTAGTCACAACTAGAAGATAGGTATTTCTGCATCTAGGAAGTAGAACCCAACGGTTCCTTTAACAGCCTACCATATCCATGACAGTCTCCAAAATAAAGATGTCAACAGTGCCAAGATTAAGAATCCCTTGCAGACAGAGTGCCTGCCTAGCAAGCATCAGGCCCTGAGTTCAAACCCTAGTACTGCAAAGGAAGGAGGAGGAGAAGAAACAGTAATTGCCCTTGTAAAGACCCTAGCTTCCACCCTCTTCTTATTAGAGGGTATCATTCCTTCCCCCTTTTATTTCTCCTTCTTTCATCCTGCTTGACTAATACATCTTTGCTGACCCTTAAAATAATCCATTGTAAGTAATGAATCAGGATTTGATCTCAGGTCAGGTTGGGTTGAGCTAGGGGGATACATTTCAAATAGTCTAAGGTTTCTGAGCCACCATAGATGCTCCTGGTCCGAAACTGCCATTTCTCTATTGAGATATCATTCTCCCTTCCTTCCTCCTACTCAGACTTCCTAAAGCAGGTCCCAAGCTTCTGCCCAGGCATCCACTACCTCCATAGTATCTCCCCTCCCACCTGTTCACCACCTTCTCTTCCCTTCTCATTCATTTCAATCTCAAACTTTTCTGGGGGAGTAAAGAAAGTGAGCCTGGGTAGTCAGACTTCAAATCTGAATTACCTGAGTTTAAATCTAGTTCTGTCACTCATTTATTTGGGACCTTGAATAAGATAGTCAATCTCTGATAAGCGTGATTTCATTTGGGATTTCTGATAAACCTGATATCCCTTATTTGGGATAAAATGACTCTCCATGAAGGGTTGTTAGCAATGATCAAATGCATGTGAAATGATTTAAACCATGTAAGCTATGGGCTGCTAAGGAGCTCTTACCATGTATGAACACTGTCAGGGGTAGAAAAATCAACAAAATAGTCTCTGCCCTCAATAATGTATAGTCTATTGGAGAAGAAAGACAGTAATGTATTCAGATACCAAAGAAGACTGAGGGGAAGCCCTCCTAAAATCGGGTGTGCTGTACAGGAAGTCGCCAAAACTCCGCTACCAACACAGAAAGAAGTATTTCAAATCCCAGTCCCTTCATGGTTCTGAGCATGGAGGAAGAAAGAGAAATGGGGTGGGGGGCAGAAGAGAGAAAAATAGATAAGGGAGAACAGCATTCCAGGATAAATCTACAGGAATTAAAGTAAGGAGGTTGGAGGATCCAGGGCTTGTTCTGGAAAGGAACACTGTATGTGTGCGGACACTCAGGTGAACCGGAACGGGAGAGGCAGGGAGACACGAAGGAGATGTCACTAGGCATAGGGAGGGCTGCCACCCTTTCGCACTGGACTTTCTGATCCTCTGAGGTGGTTCCGGGTGATCTCTTTTACATGCTCAGCCCCAGCACAGTCTGTCCTCTGCTCACCATCTCCTGTGCCACCTCCTCGGCCGCGTCCCGGCCCAGCTGGAACAGGAACTCGATGGCCTGGTTGTCCCGTGGACGACCCCCGCGCCGTGCGTCCTCCATGCGCAGCCAGAGCTTCAGGCCCGGCTTCTCGCCGTCGTCCTCCTCCGCCAGCTCCACGTGCACGCCGCGCTCCTCTCGGAAGAAAGCGTGGGCCAGAAGATCCTGGATGGTGAACCTGGGGGTCGCGGGGGGGCGGTGAGACACGACCTTCACCTCCCGAGCCTCTTCTCCACCCCAGCTCTGCCCGTAACCCACCTCTCGTTCTTATCCGTGCGGATGCAGCCTTCAATGATCTCCTTCACCTCTGGCATCTTCACCTTGTAGAAGCTGTTCGGCTTTGTGCCCTAGGGGGAGGGGTTGCATGAGGCCTGGGGTCCTCTGCACCCCAGCTCTCGGCTTGACACCCTCACCACCCGATCCAGAGCGGGCAGCAGTACTGAAAGATTTGATTTCAAATCACACACAGCCCCTCCACCTATTGACGATGTTACCTTGAACAGGACTCTCACTGTTTTCTTATATGTGAAAAGAAACTTTTGCCACGATCACCTTGAAAGGCAACTAGAAGGATCGGGTAAAATTGAATGTGAAATCGTTTCTGAACTCTTGGAAGCGCTCCACATATTGTTATTCTAAATAGCTTGTTTTGGGGGTATGGGTAGGCATGTGTGCACCCAACATCCTTCGGTGTTCACCAATCTTTGTGTCGATGGCCTGTCTTCATTAACACAAAGGGCACTGACCACAGGTAACTTAAGGCAGGTAAATGGGAGTGGCACCTGGAATCCCCTCCTCCCCAGCCCCGCCCCCTCACCGAAGTGACCTTGCGGTAGATTTGCGCAGCATTCTGGCACTCGGAGTACGGATACTCCGAGGTCGCCATCTCCAGCATGCACATCCCAAACGCGTACACATCCACGGCCTCGTCGTACTTTTCCTCATACATCTCGGGAGCCATGAATTCCGGGGTTCCTGTAGGATCCACAGCAGAGATCAGGCTGCTGAGCCTTTCTTCTCCCCTCACCTCTCCACTTGGGCACACTGTGGGTTAGGCAACCCAGGGGCTTGAGTGCAAGAGAACAATACTGGCCCATAGTGTGTGTTGGGGTGAAGGGGATGCCATAGGTCAGCCCAGCATCCCTATGATCTCCTAGTTCCGTGGATCTAGAAAACCTTGCTGGGGTTGGTAATAATGGCAAGGACCCTCCTGGTCGGACGCACCAATGACACTCTTGGCAAAGGAGGCACGCTTGAGTGTGGCCAAACCCAGATCCCCGATTTTGACAGAGCCTGTAGGCCCGGTGATGAAGACGTTGTCGCATTTGAGATCCCGGTGCAGGATGGGGGGAACGCGAGAGTGTAGGAAATGAAGTCCCCGCAGGATTTGGCGGCTCCAGCGCTGAAGGACTCTGGGCTTCATCTCACGGAACCGCCTCAGGTACCTGGGAGAGGACGCATAACCAGAGTCGCTGCGGGGATAACTACGCAGAGCGGGGTTGGGGGGAGAGGGGAGGGAAGCCCACACTGGGAAGTTCCCTCTGTCCCACCCTTGCAGCTGCCTCGGTGTACTTTGCCCACATTCCTCCAGCCTAGGTCAGCGCGGGGGCCTCTAGGAGAAACAGGCCAGTCGGGGGCGTCCGGTAGATAAGACACGAGGTTACAAAATAGTTCTGACAGTAAATTCGTAGATAGGGTCACAGCCAAGGTGCTGTGGGAGCTCCGGAAGGAATGACTAACTGTCCCAAAGCGTGGGGAGGGCTTCACAGAGGAAGTAACTTTTGTGTCTTGAAAGAGGAGTAGAACTTCAAGGGTGAAGAGGGGAAGGGATAGTGACCTTCCAGGCAGACAGAACACCGTGCTCAAAGGCACGGACACAGCAAGTGACAGGGCAAGGGGTAAGTAGTTGCTGGGTATTGGTTTGTCCGGTATTTAAGATAAAGAAAAATGAGACTGGATCCTAAAGTCTGTGTGAATAAGTTAGTCAGTGTGTGGACTTTATCCCCAAGGCCATGGGAAACTTTAAGGGGTTTTAAGGAGGGAGTCACAAGGTCAGATTTACCACTTCGAAAGATCCTCTAGGTTGCAGGAAGACAGGATAGCTTGAAGGGAGGGCAGAGCCCAGAAGGCCCATTAGGGCGCTACTGCAGGGCTCCAAATCAGTGAGAAACAGCAAAGTGGGGACAAGGATGGGGCAGTGAAAGCCCAGTGGTGAGATGTTAAGGAGCGACTTGGAGACTTGACTGATGTGGGTGGTGGCAGAGCTAAGACGCCTAATGTTTTGACCGGATGCTGAGGACATGGCCATTCACCTAGGCAAGGACTTAGGTCGAGTGGTTGGGAGGGAGATGGTGAGTCTGGCTTTAGAACGGAACGTAGGGAGTTTGAGGGGACTAGGAGAGGTTCAGGAAGTAGTGGAGGGACGTCCCACACTCCCCCACCCACCCAGACCAGAGCTCACGTCTTGAGCGTGCCCGAGGTCATGAGTTCGGTGATCAGCACAATGCAAACCTGGCCCCTTAGCACCGACTTCCATGAGTCGTAGAAGCGGACGATGTTGGGGTGCTGCAGCCCCTTGAGCATCTCCACCTCCTCGGAGAAGCGCTGCCGCTCTGCTCGAGACAGTTTCCGAGTCTGTGGGATGGGTGATGGGAGCAAGGTCAGCCCAGACCCCCAGGGAGAGGAGGACAGGGCATCAGGAGTGGAACTGGGGAAGATGGGGTTGGAGCCCCCGGACCGGGTCGGGTGGGTGAGATTGCTAGCCCGATGGGCTGCAGACCCCGAGCTCTTAGTCTCTTTGGGTTGTTCCAAAGACACACCCATCCTGGGCCTGGGGCGGCCCCCAAGCCCCCCCGCTGGACACAAGCGCCTTTATGCAGCCCGGTCTGGGAGCCCTGAGCTCAATAGCGCCTTTGTGGCCGCCCTGGCCGGCTGTGTGGCGGGAGGGGGTGCTTGGGGGCCGGCAGCGGGCAAGCAGCAGGCGGGCAGCGGGCGGGCCGAGGGCAGGGAATTGGGGCCGGCAAGGGGTTGGCCCCAGAAGCTAGGAACTGTAGATTCGGACAGACGGTGGAGGGCTGCGGGGGAAGGTACAGAGAAAGAAAAGATCCAGGACTTGGCGTCAGGAGACCGCCCCCCATAGCGGCCCCGCCCCCATTCCCCTCTCCCTCCCCACACCCTCCCGCGTTTGGCTGCCTCTCCTGGCCTGGCCTACAGCCTGGGGCGCGGCACTGGCAGGCGCAAGGGGTGAGCCCCGTGCCAGGGCCAAAGTGGTGGGACTCTTCTCTTAGGCTTTGTTCCCCAATCTGAATCCGACCACAGTTGACTGGGTTCTGCCTACCCACATGTAGAGTGGGAGCAATGAGAAAAAGGTCCTGACAACCAGCATCCTCCTGAAATCCAAGAGCTCAGTGCCTTTGGGCTGGGAGGGAAAAACTCAGGTAGGCAGATAGGTGAGAAGCAGGGCTGATCTCAGGCCAGTGCTGGAGCTTCCTGTCCTCCCTCTCCCTGTAGCTGTGAAGTCCTGAGTCTGACTGCTCCAGAAAGGGTCAGTGAGAGCCCCATTCTGCCACAACTACCCGCAAATTCTTTTGGAGGTGGAGAGGACCCTGACCCTGTTCCTGGCCTCCAGTATCTCACTTTCTTAGTCTGCAAATAGGGAGCGAGAGGACCAGGGTCACAGCTGAAAATCTCAGGACATAGGGGAAAAGGAAAGAGACAGTAGGTATCCAGGGCAGGAAATTGGTGGGCCAGCCCTCTACAGATCTGAACTGGCTTTCCCACCCCATTTCCCATCCTATTTTCTACACTCAGGGATTTGTATGGAGACTTGAAAGTGGGAATGTCCATTCCCATGGAGGAACCACCAGATAACACCTGCCTCAGTTTCTCCTTCTGATCCCACCCAGAGTCAACTAGATCATCCCTGCAAGGAGAGCAAGAATGTCAGGACATTTGACAGAAAAAAAATACATCCTTCCCTTGATGCTGTTCTCCCATCCGAAGGGTCCCATCCCGATGTGCTAACGAGGGGGCGCCCAGCCGCACCTGCAGCTCACACCAGGCCACTTCTACCGTGGTGTCGGTGTCTAGCCCTCGATACACGGTCTTGAAGGAGCCACGTCCAATCTCGATGTCAAATTTGAGGTATCGGCCGTCAGGGGACGTTGCCACAGCCTGCGTCTCCGTGTCCTCCTTTTCTTCCTGCTCCCGCTGCCGCTCCCGGGCCGCGGCATCGGGGACCCTAGGTGGTCCCCCGGGCCCCAGGCCTCCTGTGGATCCCGTGAGTTCGGGATGCGCCGAATCTTCAGTCTTCCCTGGGTCTCCCCCGGTCCACGTGCCCTCCGGAGATTCTTTGGAGCTAGGCGGTAGGCTCCTCGTGGGGCCAGCGCCAGTGGAATCCGGAGGATCGGGGGGTTCCGGAACGGGCGAGGCTGCCTGGGACCAAGAGCTTAGCAGACCCAGGTCGACTGAGCTGCGGCGGCTGAGACGTGAAGAGCGCGGCCGAGGTTCAGCCTTCCCGGAGAAGCGGCGCGCTCGGCGAGGAGGGGGCCCCAGGCGGGGCGGCCCCGCGGTAGCCAGAAGCGGTGGAGACCGCAGGACCAGGTCAACCTCCGTCTGAGGCAAGGAGACCGCGGTCTCCGTGGTCCGGGGTGCCAGCATGGGGACGGGCCAGGCGCCGCAGGGCGGAAAGCCAGACGGCTAGAGAGGAGGTAGCCTGACAGGAGGACGGGCTGGGTACGCAGCGCTCGGGTTGAGCAGCTGGGGCCCCAACCCTTCGCTGGGTTGCCGCGCAGCCCCACCCCTAGACCCGCCCCCGGCCAAGCCCCCGCCTTCACCCCCCAGGGCCGCCTGTTTTGAGCCGGGCTCTGCGGACCGCTGCGGAGCCCCTAACCTTAGCTGCCGCCGCGCGCCCTCCTTTCCTGCAAACCCGCATTCCGCCTCCTTCCCGGCAAGAGCTGAGTAGGAGGTGGCGGCGTGCCCTCCCGCACTGAGTTCGCAAACCTGTTTCGGGTAGGGGAGCGGGAGGACGACACTGGAGCAGGGAGAGGAAACCTAACCGCGGGTCCCAGGCCCTAGTGTGTATGGGTGTCTAAGGAGAGGCCACCACCAGCCTGCACAACCCAGATAAGGCAGTACTACCCTGTCCTAATCAGCCGGAGTAGCCCCAGGCCGAACAGAGGTCAGTGAAAAGGCATGGTTTTGTCGCACTCAGGCTTCCCTCTGGTCTGTACATGGATGTGTGTGTGTCCCAGGACAAACCCTTTGGTCACCCACCAGCTCCACCTCCACCTTGGCTACTGCCTGGTCTTTGCCAGAGAGGCTGTTTTTGCTGTGGGTTCTCCTTCCTCCTCCTCCTGTTTGCCAAAGTCTCCAATAAACCAAAGTCCACATCCGGTTTGCCTCCCTCCAGCCCCCTTGACCACAACTACCCAACCCAGACCAGATGGGTGGAGGGAGGGCTTCAGAATAGTTCAGGACTTTCATGGGGGAGCCATTAAGTGACTCCAATTCAAAGAGCAAGCAGTCTGTCCCCAAGCTGTGTTCCATCAGCACTCCTCCACACAACCCACCCAACACATGTAAAACCACAGGCTAACTGGAACCCTAAGGCTCAGAGGCCCTTTTCCCTTACACAGGCCATAGGCCTCCCTCTCCTCTCCAGTTGGCTGGGACTCACTGAAGTGGAACGCTTCACAGCCCTCTTCAATCCCATTCCAGCAGTAACTTAACAGGCAGGCAGGCAGGCAGGCAGTAGGAGTTGAGATTTTAATATCATAAATCAGTGTTGGCCTGCCTTTTACTGCCAGGCCCCTCCCGGGGCCTCCTATCTTCATATTGCCTGGAAGGCTGCCTGCAGCCAGGGCTTCCCCCAGCCCCTAGGAAGGATAGAGCACCAGCCTGGGAAGGGAGGCAACAGCAGCTAAGGGGCTTGGAGGAGGAGACAGAAGCTTGTGCAGGCGCATGTGTGCATGTACTTACGTGTGAGAACACATGTAAAGTGTCAGGTTTACAGACCTTGTCTCAGGGACAGTCTCAGATGGGAGGAGGTAGGGCAAAAAGAAACACATCCTTTCTCTCTGGTACCTTGGGGTTACCCTATCACAGGGACAGACATATAGGGTAAGTAGGAAACCCCTCCCTAGGTCCCAGCCTTCAAGACTGGAGCCCTTTAAGTATGGTGAAGTCACAGATGCAGTCTGTGGGAACACTAGGTCTGTCTCTTTCTGAAAGCCCTAGAAATGTGGGAGGTAAGAAGTAAAGGGAGACAGGACTCTGCTAGAAGAACTTGACACCTCTGCCATCGCTGATAGTGATGATCTCAGCCTTGTGCTCCTGCTGTAGGGCCTGCAGAGCTCGAAGTAGGGTCGCCTCATCCAGGCCATGGAACTCTGGATAGGAAGAGATGGGCAGTCAGTCTCCCAGTTCCTTGGGGGGATGAGGAGAACAGTCAAGGTGGAAGCTGAGACCCTACAGAGCCAGGGTATGCATATGCCATCTGCACTGCTGCAGCTGCTACCCATGCTTTCTGGGCACTCTTTAGAGTAAGGGGTGGAAGAAACCTTAAGTCAGCATGAAATGAATTCTGGCTTATGTCCCCTTCCCTAGTTATGTAGACTCAGCCCCAGGACCCTTCTTCCCCTTGCCCCCATTAGTGTCTGATGTACCTGAGTGATATCATCTGATTTTGAGTCCACAAAAAGGGGGCCCTAACTGGGCATGGGTGGCTTACGCCTGTAATCCTAGCTACTCAGGAGGCAGAGATCAGGAGGATCACAGTTTGAAGCCAGCCTCAGACCCTATCTCAGAAAAAAAAAAAAAAAAAAGCCAAATGTGGGCTGGTGGAGGGGCTCAAGGTGTAGGCCTGAGTTCAAACCCCAGTTCTGGAAAAAAAAAAAAAAAAAGGGGCCTAAAAAGAAGAAAAATGACAATGAGTTCTGCTAATCAGCCCTAAGGTTAGTTAAGGCCCTTGTCACATGAGTCCTTAACTGCACATTTGTACAAATCAGGGGACCTGTCCTGACACAAAGAGGTATAGCTAGTGCCCGAGCCAGGAGACTGCTAAAGTCCAGCACCAGTATCTGCCCTTTCCTAACTAAGACAGGGCTAAGAGCCAAAGGCCAGCTGAGTATCTGGAGATATGGTAAGATACTGCAGGGAGATGTGAGATGTAGCAGGCAAGCCCTGACAGGCTTGCTCACCTCACCCCCTGCAGGGGGCCAGCTCAAGTCAGGAAGCTTGCATTGTGAGGAAGCCTCTAGCTTTGCCTGGCCTGAGTAGTGGGCTGGGCCAAGCTGGAGCACTGAAGTCATGGGGTGATGGTGGGAGTAGCAAGCAGAGGCCTGCAGGGCAGAGGGGAACAGCCAAGAGCTGTAAACTGCTACAGCTAGGGCCTGGCAGAACACCCTCTGTTACCCCAGAAAAGACTGGGGCTTTTGGTGATCCTGCTGGTCAAAATAAGGAGTCAGAAGGCTTGTGGAATGGCTAAAGCAGGAAGAGTGCCTGCCTAGCAAGCATGAGGCCAAGTTCAAACTCCAGTACTGCCAAAAAAAAAAAAGAAAGAAAGAGAGAGAGAGACTAAGGAGTCAGAGAGGAAAGAACTGAGAAAGTGTTTACACTATTTAAAAATCAAAGAGTATACAAATCCTTGCCTGGCCAAAATCCAAAGTATTTACATGGGCTGGGGGTGTTGGCCCAATCCCTTCAGCTGACACCCACAAATCTTGAGCCCTCTATAAGAAGAAAGGGTGAACAACCTGAGTCAGCCAGGAATGAGATTTCAGGCTTAATCCCCTGTGCCGGTTCCTCAACTGTCTTCTACAGCAGTAGCCAACTTTTCAAGCCATAACATCCCAAAAAAAAATTAGAAGAAAGAAAGAGAGAGAGAGACTAAGGAGTCAGAGAGGAAAGAACTGAGAAAGTGTTTACACTATTTAAAAATCAAAGAGTATACAAATCCTTGCCTGGCCAAAATCCAAAGTATTTACATGGGCTGGGGGTGTTGGCCCAATCCCTTCAGCTGACACCCACAAATCTTGAGCCCTCTATAAGAAGAAAGGGTGAACAACCTGAGTCAGCCAGGAATGAGATTTCAGGCTTAATCCCCTGTGCCGGTTCCTCAACTGTCTTCTACAGCAGTAATTCACAACTTTTCATGAGCCATACATGCCCTTGAAAAACTTGTAATACGGACTCTATCCCTAGAAAAATGCATATACATCCACACAAACAAAATTAGGGGCTTTTAAATATGTGAATTCAGGTAGTCTATGGAATTTTTAGATGTGGGTTAAGAGCTTTTGTGTTGTGGAATTCAGAGGCAGAAAAATGGTTAGTCTGAATATCGACTAAACTACGACTGGAGAAAGAAGCACTCCTCTCTTCTCAAAACTGGAAGAAAAAGGCATTACCCTCATCCTCTGTGTCTTCCCCATTGGTCAGTTCATACAGAGTAAACACAGAGTTGTTCTGGCCACTCCTAGAAACCTGTGGACACCAAAAATGAGGGTTGAATAAGGAACAAGAATCTCCTGGGAGAAGGTAACCCTCATTAGCTCCACCTTTTTTATTTGGGAATGGTACTTATTTCCAAACCAGGGCTCGCTGTCACCTCTGCAGTGGCCTCAAATCCACAAGACCCTACAGGTGCTATATATATATATATGTGTGTGTGTACACACATATTTAGAACCACTAAACCACAGGCCTTCACGTGTCTGAAGAGTGACTTCTCATTCTGGTTGTTTTCCTATTCAGGAATGGGTGGTTTGTATTTGTTATATTTAGGTTGTTGATGCTTCCTCCCCTCTGCTTTCCCTTGGGAATGTATGGGGCTGGTGGCAGCTAGGAATTTGGGGAAGAGGGTATTCTGTCCCCACACCCGCACTGGCTTAGAAAGTCTCATTCATGTGGACAACTCCACAAAGGCCCAGTAGGGGGAGGGGGCCCCAGGTTTTTTTCCTTCCTTTCCCCATTTATCTTCTGTGGCCAGAGGCTCCAGCCAACAATAGCATTCATGGTTTCCAGTCCTGCATTCTCCAAACATGGCCTCACATAGCCTCCTACAAGCAAAGAAAGGGAAGTTCTGTGCAGGCAGAGAAATTGAGTCACTCAAGGACATTTACCTAGAAGGCCTATACTTCCCTTTCTGTCCTCTCCCCACTTTGCCAAATCTGGATCTGGGAACACCAGGTATCTGTTGAACATGAATACAATTTTTTCATCACTGCTTAGTACTTAGTAGCAGGATGGCCTCACCCACTGATAAATGAGTTTCCCCCATTCTTCTGGCCTCCGCCACATGATCAGGAAGCTAGACTTGTTCTTATCCAACCACTCGAGGTTCCCTGTAAAACAGATACTTATGACAGCAACATGCTCTTTAAAAAAAAAAAAAGGGACAAAGAGGCAAATAGCAATGTGGGACAAAGTGGAAGAGATTCTGCTTTCAGAATGAGATTCAGTATTTTACTAACATCTATATGGCACACATTCTCCTTAGTGTACCTCTCTTCAGGCTTAGGGCACAGTTAGATTTCAATTTCTGTATATCAATGAGAAGAGAAGACCCAGGAATTGGGCTTCAAGCCAAGGGAGAAAAAAGTTTTAATAAAGGGAAAAGATTTGTCCTAATCTACCCTCAGGGAAACCTAAATAGGAAGAAAAGTAAGGAATTTGAGCATCTGCACCTACCTTTTTTCCTCAGTTCCTCTAATACAATCTGGATTGATTCCATAGGAAGCTTCCCTGGTTTAAGGTTAAAGGAATGACATACATGTTAATTGGTTTGGATAAAAATTCTCAGAGCCAATCCCTGAGAACCATTTAGCTCCTTCCTTTCCCTTTTACACACACATGCATGCAATTTCTGAACAAGATATAAATTAGCGTTTTCTGGATATTCTGGGGAGGAAGGTAAAAAACCAATTAGAAGAGAGAGATAGCTGGACATGGTAACACATGCCTGTAAACCTGTAATCCCAGCTATTCAGGAGGCAGAGACAGGAGGATAGCAAGTCTGAGGCCAGTCCAGGCAAAGTTAGTAAGAACCTATCTCAAAAACAAGCCGGGCACCAGTGGCTCACATCTGTAAATCCAGCTACTTGGGAGGCAGAGATAAAGAGGACAGCAGTTCGAGGCCAGCTTGGGCAACAGTTTGAGAGACCCTATCTTGAAAATATCCAACACAAAAAAAGGGCTGGCAGACTGGCTCCAGTGGTAGAGTACCTGCCTAGCAAACATGAAGCCCTGAGTTCAAACCCCAATACCACCAAAAATAAAATAATAAATGAACAAATACAATGAAAATTAAAAAGGGGGTAGGGCTGAGACTGTAGCTCAAGTAGTAGAGTGCTTGCCTAGCAAGTATGAAGCCCTAGGTTTAATCCCCAGTACAGGAAAAAAAAAGGAAAAACAGGGAGGAAGGGAGAGACTACCCAGATATAGTGGTACACACTTGTAATCCCAGCACTCAGGAGGCTGAGGCAGGAGGATCAGGAGTTTGAGGCCAGCCTCGGCTATAGAACATGGCCCCATCTCAATAAATAAATAAATGGAAGAGCTTTAGAAAATGAAAGGGAAGTGGTGGAGTGGCTCAAGTGGTAGAATGCCTGCCTAGCAAGCATGAAACCCTGAGTTCAAACCCCAGTACCACAAAAAAAAGAAAGAAAGAAAATGAAAAGTATTATTTCCCACATTCTCTGTCTTCTCACTGTCCTTCAGCTTTTCTCCATGGATATTTTAAAGATCAATCAGACAGCAAAAACAAATGACCGTCACTTCTTGGAAGTAGGGTAGGCGGGGAAAATTATTAAAGGTAGTGCTGAGTTTGAGCCTCACACAGAGAGAACAGAAGATTCAAATATCCCAAAAAGGCTCAGGGTGAAAAGCAGCTTGGGACTTGGCATCAGAGCAGAGATTCTAAGACCCAAGCACTTAAGAATGCCTACAAGAGGGTTTGGTACTAAATCAGTGGGGTAAAACGGACGTCAGATACTCTTACAAGCTTGGGTAGGAACCTGCCTACTGTGGGTAAAGGGAGGGGGAAGGTGCAGCCTGGGCATGTGGGAAAGTGTGGAAGCACATGCGTGTGAGCTGTGGGAGAGCCTGAGGGAGGATACGCTGTAGCTTGACGTTGTTGAAGAGTGGGCTCTCCTGCGCTTCCATCACCGTCATGCTGGACTGTTTGTGCAGGCGACAGAAGGACAGGACCAGCGAGCACCAGGCGGCCAGCTGCTTCTGCCGAGTGTCCACGTTCGGCTGTAACCTGCCGGGTGAAGGGAATGGGCGCAGAATTAGAGGGCGTGAGGGAGCGAGAGGCAGCACTTGCCCCGGGGCGCATTTGGGAGAGAGAGTGAGGGACTGAAGATGGTGGTGGGCGGGTCCTGTCTCCCCCCTCCCCAAGTGAAGCATCAAGGCTGAGCCCAGGGCCCAGGGGGTGGGAGGGAGGCACAGCGGGGCTTCCTGGGGTCTGAGCCTCACGTAAAGAAAGGTGGGAAGCGATACTGCCACGGCCACTCGAAACTCATCGCCATCGTAGTAGTCCAGGATACCCGGAACCTACCAACAAGGGACTTCCGGTTTCCCCTTCACCACGTCCGGGCAGAAAGCACAGCAGAAAGGTTCCGGATGCCTCTCAAGAGACGCTCAGAGGACCGGAGATGTCATTGTCATCAACCAATCCCCTGCCATTATCCTAAAACACTTTACCTTGTGGAGCAGAAAGAGCCTTGGGAAGTCTTCTGGTTCAACCTCAGAAAAAGGGTAGCGAGTTCCCCAAAGTGGTGCAATTCGTTAAGAGAACGCAAACAACCCAGATCTCCAACCAGAGTACGCTTATTTCCACTGCACGTTTCTTGTAATATTAGCATTCATGTCAATTACCATTTAATTTAAACTCCCCACGATTCCACAATCTCCTTCATTCCTATGTCCTTCTACTCCACCATTTCTTAGTCTTCTGCAGCACCTTGGGAGCACACTTTGTAGCTTATATCACCACAAACGGTTCTGCTTCCTCCAAAGGTTCAGTGCACTCCATCCATCTCCCTCCCCACCACACACGCTCCTTTTTTTTTTTTTTTCCCACTCTTGGGCTATGGAGAATGACCTTTTGTTTTTATTGGTTCTCTGTGACACTCGACGTAATATTAGAACTTCTCCATGTTCACCAGACATCCCCGATCATTCCTCATCTCTTTGCTCCCTACAGAGTGACTTTCACTCCTGTTTTATGAGATTGAGGACAGGCATGCAAACCCCTTAATCCTTTCCCTGTCTGTCACCATATTTGCTTCATCCCTCAAAAATTACTCTCTACTTTTACTCCTTCTTCCTTTTGGACTCAAAGGAAGAAGTGTCACTCTTCTTTTACAATGTCAAGCCTTTGACATATCTTCTTATCTCTCCTTCCCAACTTCCTCCAGGACTTCTGTTATCATTTTATTTCTCTCTCTTTCTCCTGGCTCTTCTCCCTAGGCTACAAACATACTCAGGGTATTCTTATTTTAAAATATATGTAGGTAGCCCTTGACTCTGCTACCTCAATTTCCTGTCTGATCTCTAACCTTTCCCTCACTCAGGTTCATCCCTCATTGTGCACAGTTTCTGGTCCACAGTGTGACCAACAAATATTTGCTGAGTTAAGGAACCATACAATTGATAATGGTTTCTCAAAGACCATCATTTCTTTCACCTCTATGACAGCTTTATCCATTCCACTGCTTCTCCAATCTTTCCCTCTGTGTCCATTCCTTCCTCCCCCCCCCCATTCCCTTTTGTTTGTTTTCTTTTTGATTTGCTTTTTTTCTCAGGCTGATGGAGTGGCACAAGTGTTAAGAGTGAGTTCCTGAGTTCAAACCCCAGAGGCACCAGAAAAAAGGAAAAAAATGATAGCCCAGGTAGCCCAAGCTGGCCAAAACTCACTGGGTAGCCCAGGCTGACCTTGAACTAATAATCCCCCTGCTTTAGCCTTCCAAGTGATGAGAGATTACAGGCCTGAAACACCACACCCGGCTTTCCCTCATTCCTTTTTTTTTTTTCAAAGGTAGAAGAACAAAGTTTTATTGAAAGTAGAGAGAAAGCATAAATAGGAGTTTTTAAAAAGGGTTGCAAGAGAAAAGCAGTGGGCTCCACCGTTCTCACCTTTCTAGTCTTGTATCTCAGGGGACTAAGGACTGAGGACTGACCAGGGGACTCTCATTCTTTAAAGCTATTTCCTATGAGTCAAACTGCAGCTTCTTCTTCTCCATACACGTTTTCTGAGAGCTCTCATTCCTCCTAAGGGTTCATATTGCATTTCTATGCAGAAGACTCCCAGACCTGTATTTTAGATCCAACTTCTTTCGACCCCCCCCCCATTGCCAATTCTCTGTGGGACATAACAGCTTGTTCCAGTTTTACTTTATGTGGCACATCCTTTTCTTTAGGTCAGTTCCTCCTCCTAATGGCCCTTTTCTGTTATTATTACCATCTTTGTCTAGTAACTCAAGTTCAATGTCTGACTCATCCTTAATGTTTCCTCTCTTTCATCCCCAAGTCCTCCTGATTTCTTTCACTGTCGTTAATCATATTCCCTGCTTTATAATTTTTTTCCATTTCTCCATTCACCATTTCTTTGGTCCATATCTTCATTTTCTCAAGCCTGGATTATTGCAGTATTTTCCTAGTTCTTCATCACCCCTTCCCTTCCCTCCCCTACAGGAGTGCATTCCATCTAAGGCCTCATCAACTACCAACTCTGCAGTCACCCTCCTGCATGGTTTGGATATGAAGTGTTCCCCCCAAAAAAAGCTCATATATTGAAGGCTTGGTCCTCAACTGGTGACACTACTGAGGGGTGAGTAGATCATGAGAGCACTAAATTCATCAAGGGATTAATCTACTGATGAGTCCGTACTAAATGGGCTGTTAGGAAATGGGGTCTGGAGGAAATAGCCCACTATGGGCACACCCTTGAAGGGTATACCTAGTCTCAGTCCTCCCACATTCTTTTGCTTCCTAGCCACCATGAGGTAAGTAACTCTCTACTCTGCCACATGTTCCTTACCGTGATACTCCACCTCGCCACAGCCCAGAAACAAAACCAAATGACCATAGACTGGAACCTCTGAAACCATGAACCAAAATAAATATTTCCCCCTTTGTGTTTTTTTTTAATCAGGTATTGTGTCACAAGAACACATCACTCACCTGTAATCATCTTACCCAGATGTGATTCCTTTTTCCTTTGAAATTGAGTAACAATTTGGGTTGCATCCTTTCTATGATTGTCATCACACTCTATGGTTTTTATTTATTTGCGCACATGTCACCTTCCCCACTAGATGAAAGCCACTGAAAGCGGAAACAAGACTAACCCATCTTCCATGGCAACACAATACACAACACAGTGCCTTATACCACCAGGCCCCTGACACACATTAATAACATGGATGAAGGCAAACATGTGACAAGGAGGAATAGATATATTCTTGGGGGAAGACAGATGTATTTGTGGAAATAGAGTAAATATTTATCTCAGCTAAAAACAGAGGAACAGATGAAAAAAAGAGGGATGTGTCCTGAAAGAAATGTATCTTTGAGAATGAATAGGTATGTTCTAGGATACATGGGCATATAGCTATGAATAGACAGGCATGTGTGAGAGAATGGATGTGCATGTACACAAAGAGGCAGATATTTCAACAAGAAAGAAACTCTCTAAAGAGGCTGAGGGTGCCACAAGGAAAAAACAAGTGTCTCCATGGAATACAAAGTTGTTTTGTAAATGTTTTTGGTGACTTGGCAAGTGCATACTAAGGAGGGATTGAGATAAGGGTTCCCTGATGAAAACTGGGCTTATTATACAGGGAATACTGTTCATATACAGAAATGGTGAGTTGCAGAGAAGGGCTAAGTCAGTCCCTAGAAAATGGGAAGGTGTATTTTTGTGTGTGTGTGTGGTATTGGGGCTTGAACTCAGGGCCTAAACCTTGAGCCATTCCACCAGCCTTTTTTGTGACTGGTTTTTTAAAGATAGAGTCTAGCAATCTATTTGCCTGAGCTGGCTTTGAATCTCGATCCTCCTGATCTCTGCCTCCTGAGTAGCTAGGATTACAGGTGTGGGCCAGCAATGCCTGATTAGGAAGGTGTCTTAAAATAATTATCAATATGTCTTAGGAGGCTGATAGAAGGGCCTACCTAAGAATTTGGTTGCTATGTAAATAATGGCTCTCTGAATCCAGGGTCCAGTATTTCTCAGCCTTGAGCTTTTTCCAAATCACATACATCATCTGGTTGTTGGCTTTAGTGGACACCAGGGGGCAGTGTGCGGCCAGGCTGTAGGCCACACCCCAGTCTCAGACAAAGTGGATGAAAGCCTGGGACCTGGAGGGGGAGTGGTCAACCTAGTAGAGAAGCCCCCACTGCCTTTGGCCAATGCTAGGCTCTTAGGGGTGGATTCTTGATACTAGTCAGATTTCCTCTTCCCAGGCCCTGGGAGTAAACTGAGATACGCAAGTTGGGGGAAAGTCAGGGCTCCTGGATAGCTTCTCTTCCTTCTTGCAGGAGCCACAGCAGAGATTCTTCCTTTGACCCTCCCCCAACACCTCCCTAGTCACAGGCCCCCAGCTGCTGTCCAGACAGGAAGGGAGTCTCTTCCTGCTAGTTTCCTGGAGCTGGAGTGGACAGGGGCAGGAAAGGCCCCTCCCTGAGAGGAAGGAGTATAGGGGTATGGTTTTCATGTGGGGGCAGTTGAAAAAAACAGAACGGACCATCTAGAGTCTTCCAGCTTTGCTGCCCAGAGCTAAGGGCCTGCAGGACTAGCGTTGACTATGAAAAACAAGCTGCACTACAAAGGGTTCATTGTACAAAAAAAATTTATTTTTTATTTTGAAGATTACAGAAATTGTCCACGACCCCACCTGGAGACCATTTTTTATCAGTCCAAGGATCTGCAGTGGGGATGAGAGTGAAAGAATGGGATAAGAAGGGTAGGAGAGAGACCTGGTGGGGACAGGGGAGAGGAGAAAGATGACTGTTGAGAAGCTTGCTCCACGCTAGGACTGGGCCTCACTGTCTTTACTCCTCCACACCACAAGAGTGACGAGGAAGGGAATAAGGCAGATGGGGGCTATGATCATAGCCAAGAGCACATCTTCCGGGGGATCAGACAAGGTGGGCTGCACCAGGGAGCAGTTGGCAAAGTGGATCAGGTGGGTCTCAAAGATGATTCTCTCTGCCCAGGGATTGGGAAAGCCCAAGCCAAACTCCTCTGCTTTGTACTCCAAACAATACTGCAGGTCACTATAAGGCCTGGGGGCAGTAGAGGACTTGAGTGAGGGAGGGGTTGGGCCCAGGAGAAAGCAGTGCCCCGCATTCACTCCAAGTCCACCCACAAGGAGTAGGCCTAACTCTTGGCCTGAGCCACCCCCGGGACTTCCCTTACCTGCTAATCATGGTCCAGTCACACCAATCCTTTTCGATGGAGTCCATATGACTCTTATAATCATTCCAGCAATGAAGAACATTTGCCTCATAGTCCTCCACCATCTTCCCTGTGGGTACAGATGCTGCACAATGACCATACCCCTGGTCCTCCCTCAAAACCTTCTGGCCAGGTACTTCCAAGGTGGAGCCCCTGCCTTTAAACATAAAAACCCCTGCAAAAGTTTTTCCTTTTTTCTGGCTGAGGAGAGCGTCTGGCTCTGGAATCCTTTAATGACTTCCATATGCACAATACTTTCTATTCCAGCCCCACAAGCACTTCCACACACACCTTGTTTGGGATGTTCTCACCCACCTGTGATGTGGGCCAGCTCAAAGTCAGACAGGAACTTTGTGGGATGAGAGGGAGAAGGATCACAAGGAACCTCAAGAGAGAACAGGGAGTGTAGTGGGGGTACCCACTGGGGGTTGGGTACCCACCTTCTGACTTCAAGGTGTCCAGGGTGGGAGAAGGCTGAGCCATGGAGTCCTGGAGGTTGAGGACAGCTGTGGGAAGAAAAGGGAAAGAAGAATGGGATGGTGGTGGTCTGGACAGTGGGGTCGAGACTGAGACCCTAGAAAACCAGTGCTACCTTGGCAGAGTGAGAGGAATAATCCATCCCCCCATAAGTTGTCTAGTGACTGGTGTGTGGGGGGGTACCAGCTGCTTCCCACTTGCATCCCAGCCAAAAGCCCCTTTCCCCCTTGCCAGCCCCCCACCCCACCTCCGCCTCCCAAAACTTCTCCACTGGGCCCTGGCCAGGACCCAAGCTTCCCTTAAGTGGTGAGCCGCTCGCCTGTTCCCGCTCGAAGATGAGATCAGGGGCCGTCGGAAGGGCAGCGCTGTCAGCCCGTCGGTCCGCACCAGCACCGAAGGTCCAGTCCTCCTCCCCTCCGGGGCCTCCCGCGCCTCCCGCCTGAGTCCCGGGGCGATGCACTCACCGCCCAGCAGCAGGACGAGGAGGCGGAGCGCTGCCGGCCGCCCGGCGCGGGTCGCTTGGAGCCGCTGGCCACCGGCAGTGCGCTCCGTTCGGAACGGGGCCATCGCGCGGCGAAGAGCCGAAGAGGGGCGGCGGAGCTGAGCCGGGCCCGGGCGGGGGCGCCTATATCCCCGGCCCGAGCCGCAGGAAGCCGCGCCGTTTCCTCGGAGGGGCTGGGACGGCTGCGGCCACGTGGGGGGCGGGGGCGACGCCCCGGGCCGGCGGGCTGGAGGGGGAGTCGCTGCCGCACCCGCGCCTGGCGCCCGCGGCTCCCTCCGCCTTGGGGGCGTTGGCCCACGCTCTCTTCCAGTTCACCCTGCGGGGCTGGACAGCTCCCCTCGTAACCCCAGAACCGGGATCCATTTCCTGGGCCCGACCGCGTGGCGCCCGGGACTGGCTCCGGTCTCCCCGCATTGGCTCCCGGATTCCAGTCGTCTCCTCCCTCTCGGGCTGGAGAGATGGGGGCGAGCTGCTCTCTCTGACCTGGAGAAGAGGGAGGGGGCTGCGAGCTCCCAGGACCTCTCAGCGCCGTGGTATCTTGAGGCAGGGGGTTGGGGGCTGGCCTGGGACGTGGGGGAAGGGGCGCCTGGAGCTGGGCCTGCGGCTCAGAGTTCCTTTTCGCTGGGAACACCCACTGATGTCAGCCGGTCTGCCAAAATCGGGGAAGAGAAGTGGGAGCCAGCCCTAACGAGTAGGGAGAAGGGGCGAGAGCCTGGGGAATGGGGTAGTGGGGAAACCGAAGTCTAAATATCCTCCCTTTAAGGCACATCCTAGTTCCAAGACCCACAAACCTGATGGCGGGCGGGGGCGAAAGTAAAGCGACTGTATTCCCAAGGAGTAAGGTGATCATACTCTTCCAGATCAAGGTTGCTGGAAAGAAGGGAGGGGTTTCGAGTTTACGAGGTGCCACTTTATGTAGGAGGTGGCTTATTAGTATTATTATTGTATGGTTTATTAGTCTTATTATTACTGGGGATGGAACCTAGGGCCTTGCACATACTTTCTACACTTCCACCTTCAAGTGGGTATATTATTATCACCACTTTACACTGCAGGAAGCTAAGGCTCAAGGAAAGAGCCCAGGATTTGAATTCAGAAGCTCTGGGTCCTAATTCTAGCTCCCCACTCTCCAGCTATCCAGCCTTGAAGGAAGTATTTTCCCTTCAGGGCTTCTAATGTAAAATGAGTCAAGACCCTGCCATCCTCCCTAACTTGTAGTGAGGCATCATATGTGCAAGGGTGTTGCATTCACTCCAGAGAGGCTGATTTCTTTTTCTTCTTTCCTCAGTGACTTATCTTAGGTCACATTGCAGAGGAGCTCCAAAGCTGAGCCTGAGCCCCCAGGGGCCCTGCCTTCTGCCACAACACAGCTGCCTCTGCATCCTGGGCCAGCATTTCCTTAGCCTGAAGCAGCCCAGGAGCTAGTTTGGCCACGATGTTCAACTCCAGACACACAGCTGTCAGCACCAAACTTTCTTAATTACTCCCAGACACTGACCCTTGGACTCAGCTGCTGCTGTTGTATTGGTTTACTGAGTCTTGTCCTTCACAAATTATCTTTCATGATCTCGCTTAAAATCATCATCTCAGAATCTCAGGCTCTTGCATCATGGCCACAGATAGTTTGTTGTTCTCTTCCATGGCTAGAATCAAGAGACTGCTTTAGCAAGGCATCTATGAGATTGGGGAGGTGACCCACTTGACATGTGCCTCCAAAGCATTTGTGGTTAAGGTTCATTCCTGAAATGGAGCAGAAAAGAGCCAAGCAGCCTCAGAGCCACTTCAGGCTGGGGACAAATCTATCTCTTCCCTCCTACCCAGAATTATGCTTTTTAAGAAGGAAGAATGGTCAAGAGGTTTCTGGGTGAAAAAAATGGGAGGAATGAGCAAGGAGGGGCAGAAAGCAAAAGAAGTCATTTCCACTGGTGGGACCAGAAGCATACCAGCCCATTGTGGGTTAAGACTAGGTCCAGGGTCAAGATTAAAGGTGACAAAAAAAAAAAAAAAGGAATTAAGAGATTCTATAGTTAAAAAAAGAAGTGGAATTAAAGGTGACAAGAGCAAATGTTGGGTTTTAAATAGGACAGTAGAGCATAATGGATAAAACAACAAACATTGGTTAGGATTCTATTCTGAAAGCAGGTTCTGTCTCTGTCATGCTGTGGAACCTTGGGCAGGTCATTTCCCATCTCTGGAGTGGAACATTTTCATAGATAAAATGGTCTTAGAATCAAAAAGTTAGCTTGGTAGGAACTGGATATTTCTTTTTTCTTTCTTTTCTTTTTTTTTTTGAGTAAAGTCTGTATCATGATGTAGAAGCTGCCAAAGTCATTCCTGAACTTGGGAGTCCGAACCCTCAAGTCGGAGAATCTGGGATTTTTCTCTTCTTTTAATTTTCCTCTTCCCATTTTTCCATACCAGTTGGATGTTTGGATTTTTCATTGACTCCCCTGAAGGCATCCTGGTAACTGAGGGTCTATTTGGGGGTCCTTTGGGACTGAACAGGGACTGGAGACTGTACCTTCCTCTTCCAAGTGGTCATAGGAGATAGTCCCATGACCTGCAGCAAGGGAGAGTGAAGGGCTTCATGGTTCCTTCATGAGAGTCCTTTGTTTGCTATCTCTAAGGGCCATTACCTTCCCTTTCTAAACCCACCTCTGTTTTGCTATTAAAAATATGCTTTATTTTTTGCAAACAATACACAAGTATAAAAATACTTAATACAGAAAACTTTATACACCCAGTCCTGTCTCACCTCCCTACACGTTTTGGATTCTAAAAAAGCATAAATGGGATTTAATATGCCTATTGTTGAGTGACTTTTTTTTTTTTGAGACAGGGATTTGCTACATAGCTCAGGCTGGCCTGAAGCTCACCATTGTGGCCCAGACTGGCCTCAAACTCTCAATCCTCCTGCCTCAGCCTCCCAAGTGCTGAAATTACAGGTGTGCACCACCCTGACCCTCTAGTCAGTGACTTTTTTTTTCCCCTGGAGATTGAACCCAGGGCCTCCTAGGCAAGCACTCCACTGTTGAGCTACATTCCCAGCTCTATTTAGTGACTTTTTGATACTTGGCTGTTTTCCCATGATACTGCATATAAATATGCCCATTTTCTTTCTTTCTTTCTTTTTTTTTACAGTACTGGGGTTTGAACTCAGGGCCTCATGCTTGCTAGGCAGGTTCTCTTACTGCTTGAGGCATTCTACCAGCTCTTTTTTTTGTGATTTTTTTTTTTTTCCGAGATAGAGTCTTCTAAAGTATTTGCCCAGGCTGACTTCAAACTGTGATCCTCCTGATCTCTGCCTCCTGAGTAGCTAGGATTACAGGTGTGAGCCACTGGTGCCCAGCTCAACTCCTCTTTTAACTGTCCGATAGTATGTGACAAGTTTACTCTTTATTTCCCCTTTGCATTCAGTGCAGTCTAAGTCTTTAAGGTTCTTACACACTCTCTTATCCCCGCTCCATCCCACCGCTGATGCCCCAGTGCTAGCAAAGAGAGACATCTGATTCTTACCCAAACATTGTCCTGAGATTTCTTGCCCCAATGCAGATTGATTCCTCCTGAGTAGGGACCTTGCTGCCATGTAAGTTTTCCTTCTTGTTATAGGCCAAGGATCATCCTGCCTTTTTTGGGGGAAAGAGGTGACTCAGCCTTTTGAAGGAGTGCCATTTCTACTCTTCGGCCTCTGCATCCACATGCCCACAAATCCAGAACAACACAGGAGGGAGTAAAAAACACTGGGGGCCTCCTACACTATGAAATTCTATGTGGAGCATCCTGAAATTAGTTCACACATACATGCTGGCCTCTTCCCCAGCTGTCTGCAAAATAAAAAGCAGAGCCCAAGAGAAGATGTGGGGGAGAGTCAGGATCAGGAAAGCCAGAAGTCCTGGCTGGGAGAGGCTGACCCTTCTAAACCAGGGAGGAGACATACTTCCTCAGAGGAAAGGAGGGCAGCAGGGAGAACAAGAGAAGCTGCATCCCAGGAGCCCGTTGGCTAAGGGAGGGAAGATGAAGGGGGTAAGGACACAACTCCTCCTCTCCCCAGCCTCCACATGTCCAGAATATGCCACACCTGGTATGAGGAGCCCAACTACCTCTCAGAGGAAAGTATGGTTACTGGAGGAAACTGTGGCTCCCAAGTTGGTAAAAAGCAAAGAAAAATGATCAAACTTCTAGTTCAATAGTTACGCGTTTTCAGTGAAACAATGTATATGAAACACTGAATAGATTGCATGGCACCCTCAGAGCTTGGTACATAAAATGAGTGTACCCTGTTACACAGCATCCAGGCTCCTGGGGTGCTGAAATGAGATAGAAGTGTTCCTGAGCGTGGTGTCACAGAATGGGTCTGAGGAATAGGGGGAGGGACACAGCAATCCTGGCAAGTGGCATTGGGTTTGACAGGAACCATAATCAGCCCCAGGTACTGAGGGACTGACTACCTGTGTTCTCAGCTACTGCATAGCTACCATTTATTCAATACTTACTATGTGTGTTGTGCTATGTGTTCTTTGATACATTCTGAGTGCTTTGCACATATTCTTTTTTTTTTTTTCTTGGCACAGTGCCAAGGATCAACCCAGGACCTGCTGCGTGTTTGGTAACTGCTGTACCATTGAGATATACAGCCAACCCTTTAGTGCACATTCTAAAAACCTCATCAGCATAATGTCAGAATTATCTTTTTCATGAGAGAAATGAGAGAATGAACAGAGTTAAGGTCCTGGAGAGTAATGACAAGAGCTAGGATTTGAACCCAGGATTGTTTGATACTAAGGTTCATGTCTTAACCAATATAATTTATCACCTCCCTATCCCTCCCACTCAAGTAAAAAATATACATTTCTTACTGGGTCTTTTTTTTTGTGGGGGTACTGGGGATTGAACCCAGGGTCTCAGACATATTAAGCATGTACTCTATCACTGAGTTGTACCCAAGTTCCACTTACTGGATCTTGAGAGGAAGAGAGAAGGATAGTTTCTCCCACAGCCAGCTGGAGTTCTCCAGAAATAAGAAAATTCCCAGACACGTGCACAGGCTTTCTCTTCCCTTCTTCCCTGACCAAGGCTGGACCATGACATCACATGGTATAGGCTGTTTTTTGAAAAG